ATTTGGCGTCGAGCTCGAAGATTCGATGGACGCAAACGAGCTCAGAACAGAGCAGGTCCAGCGCCTGTTAGGGGCAAAATTGGGAGTTATGGGGGAAATCTTGGTGGCCGACGAGATGCTTTCTTGTCAGATACTTTTCCCGACTTTTGAGTTATAGTGTTTTTAGCGCATTTTCTCATTTATGAAAAAATGCACTATTGTGCTCACCATGTCCGTCTGTCCGTCCGTCTGTCCGTGTCTGTTTGCCCGTCTGTCTGTCCGTCCATGACTTCATGTTTTCTTCGATGAGAAAATGCGCTCTCTTTCACTCACTGCAGTGAGTACTGAGTTAAATATTTTTTTCTTATAGATTGCTGATTTGGTCTCTTGCTATCGAAACCTTACTAAAAAAATGGTCTCTTACTATCGTTGCTCCGGCATAATCAAATTCACTCTATACGGATCTCGTTACTGATACCGCTCTTTAATCCACTCTGGCAGCGATAGTTCATTAGTCACATTCATCCTAGTTTATCAGGTTGCAGAAAATAAACACGCAGTGCCTATCGTGAAGGCGTGCTGTATTTAATCTGCTTTTACTCCGTTCGTTGAGCCTTCGACGAAATAGATAAATCTTTTCATCGAGGCCTGCTGATAAACTCTAAACTCTTTGCTACTAAGGGAAATCGAAGTTACAAGTGATTTAGATAGATCAACTGCAGCTACCCGTCTAGTCAGCTACAAATTCACTCCTAGTCAGCTACAGCTGCACTCCTAGTCAGCTGTGTACCGCAGCTGCTGCCGAGGATCAATGTGACTGCAGACGCGACTTGATTCCTCCCCTCCCTGCCTCCCCTCTCCTCAACCCTGCCGCCCTATGATAACACCTCCCCCTGTCTCCCCTCTCCTCTACCCTGCCTGCCTATGATAACCCCTCCCTCTCTCTCCCCTCGGAAACTGGAAACTTCCGCTGGTCACGCAGATCCGATTACCGCGTCCGTCCTCTCGGCGGCCTTGGAAGGAAGCGCCTGCGTGCCAGTTGTTTGTAAGGCTCTTCGGCGGGAATGGTTCTTTCAAATGTTCGTTTGGGAGGTTATTGTTATTTTCAATGTCATCCGTGCTTGTATTTACTAGGAGTATAATAATTAGGAATATAATTTTTTCATACTTGCAATGTTATTCCAATATGATAACCGTTTCAAAATTATTTGAAGTTTGAACATGTGCAAAGATTTCGATAATTGCTAAAAGGTTGTGGCATAATTTGCTCCAAAAGCGGCGCATCGTGCATCAGGTGGCCCAAATGAGGGCGGATGAGCGATATTCAGAGGCGGCGATCCATCGTGGCCTGGGACTGCTACGTCCGAAACAAATACCAAGGATGCCATGCAATTAAAACGAGCAAAAACTGTCGGACCAAGTTCTAAATTTGAGAATCAGTTTGCTGCAACGCATTAACCTGAAACTACGTATAAAAATTCGATGAGAACTTGAATAAAATGTTTCATAAAAACGCTTATTGCCTTCAGTTCTAATGTTACGGTTTTGAAAATTCGGCTCAAGCGATGCTTGACGCCCAGCTTTAATTGTACGTGGTTTGAAACTTTCTGAATACCGTACTTTGATCTGTTTCATATCATCTTTCCTTCGGAATTTGTATAGGAATTTTAATTTATTTGTTTGAAAGCGTTACCTCAATCCGTAGTAACCTTTATATATAACAACATCATCTGCCCCTGTGTTTATCTGTTATAATACGAGATAATTCTGGAATGCGATTCGTACTACATATTTGGTCTGCCAAAATTTTTTGACTGATCGTTAATTTGCTTCTACTTCTTTCGGTTGAGTTGGCAAGATTCCATTGCAAATATAGTGAGTAAATTTAGCTGTGGTCAAAACAAGGTAAAGGAATGCAATTCTCTTAATAAATTAGGAGTTGATCAGATTGAGCTAACTCTGGTTGCATGGACAAGGCGTAAAGCTGCAGAAATTCATGCACTTGCACAAATGAGTCACACTCTCCAGATTGCGATGCACTTCTCACCCGGGGATTGGTAATCCTGACCCAGTTTCACCCGGCAAAAGGGTGTCTCAGTGTAACTTCGGCTCTCTGCTCGTGGTGTGAGCGAGAAAGTGTCACTATTTGGACAATATGACCCATTCATTTCCTGAGTGCGTGCAGCAAAGTTGTCTGTCCGGCCAGAGCAACGCAGGCAACGGCCATAAAATAAACTGGATTTTCCAATCACCAACATTAAAGCTAATATCAGTATGATTGATGAACAAGAATGATCGTTTAATATTAATAATACAGTAAATGCCAGAACATCGTCTTTAATGCCCGTTGAATCAGGAAAACATTTCACGATTTCCTCTCAGTTCCATTGATTTTCTCGTGTCGTGTTGCGTGTTGTTTGAATGCTTGCGTGACTATGGCGCGAAGCTCAATGTTTAACTCTGTGCCCTTTTGTTTATAATAATATTCCTTAATTGTAAGTTGGTCGGACGGAGGAAGGCTTAAGTCGCCCATATGCAGAAATCGTCCGTAAGTTAGTCGCCCATGTGGCAGAAAAAAGTGTCTGAAATAAGTCTACTGGATAACTACTATGAGCTGATCTACCGCGTCATTTATTGTAGATGTTCAATCCCATTGCAAAATTATTACTTTCGGATTTGAAACTTTAATTTGTGATCGCAGTAAAATTTAAGCTTGTCACACGAATTTTTAATGCGATGCCAGAACCGAACCTGATGGCTGGGGAGAACCCTCGGTCGCTTTTTAGCGCATTTTCTCATTTATAGAAAAAATGCACTATTGTGCTCGCCATGTCCGTCTGTCTGTCTGTCTGTCCGTCTGTCCGTCCGTCTGCCCGTGACCTCAAGTTTTCGTCGACGAGAAAATGCGCTCTCTGTCACTCACTGCAGTGAGTGCTGAGTTATATTTTTTCGGCTTTCGTCGACTTTGCAAGACGTTTTTGCTAGACTCTCTGAACTCATTAGCTTCATGGAACCATTGTTGCACATATACGATCATATACGATTCTCGTATATGTACGCATTTCATTTGTATTATAATTCTTACTTTGCACCATAGATATCTGTCTCAAAAATAAATCAGAACTCCATTTTAACAGTTCGGGAAGTATTATGACTCACAGTTACTAAAAACGCCGTGCTTTTTGTAAGCACGGCGAAATTATCACGTTTACACGATCTTATGATATAACAACTGCAGCGACAGCTTGGCGAATACTCTCTGCTTGCGGAGTATTTTATTGCGGTGCTTTTGAGGCTTCGTGCGAGTTCTATGTGAACTTATCCTCATGGATATCGTACTGGATTGATGCGACCGCAAACTGAAGGCTGAGAACAATTAATTTCAAAGAGAATATAACTGAAATTATACGAGTCATTCTCAGTCTGTTGGACGTTTAGGAATATTGAAGTTTGTAATTTACATCACTCTAGCGGTTAACGCAAATTTTCCACGTGGGAACAACTACGTAATATGGGTGAAGATTCTTCCCCTCTTGTGCCCACACAGTCTCGTCATGGGTGCGGATCCTCCCCCGCGTGCACCTCAATGCCCGTACATTGGTGCGGATACTCCCCCGCATTTCCCCAAGTCTCCCCACACCACGGGAGGGCACAGCAAGGTTCTGGGTTAGCAGCTTTAGGTTGCATGGCGTGCGGCGGTGGCGACCTTGGAACTCAGGTTGTCTGGGTACGCTCTTCTCGCCAGCCAAGTGTTATACGCGGACCATGCCAACCGGATACTAGTATTATACCCGGATACTAGTATTATGCCCGGACAATGTCAGCCAATTGCTATACCCGGATGATGCCAGCCAATTGCTCCACCATCCGACACATGATCTCTCCTCCCTACAATAAGGATGATATGTTATCATAATTTAGTAATAATTTTTCCTGCGCTCACCGCCTCAACTTTGCCCATTAATTAAGTCAAATATGCGCCTCACCTAAATTAAATTTCTCGAAGTATTTTTCTAAATTTATTTCATCGTAAGCTTGGCCACTGTCGGCAAGATTNATCTCTCCTCCCTACAATAAGGATGATATGTCACAATAATTTAGTAATAATTTTTCCTTCTCTCACCGCCTAAACTTTGCCCATTAATTAAGTCAAATATGCGCCTCACCTAAATTAAATTTCTCGAAGTATTTTTCTAAATTTATTTCATCGTAAGCTTGGCCACTGTCGGCAAGATTGATTCCTCCAGTCACTCGGAAACACTTGCTCGCACTTAATATATTGCCTTGGCAGTAGCGAACCCATGTCTGTTACTAAGCTTAAGTCATTTATGTATATAAAAAATTCATGTTTCAATGTTTCGCATCATATCTTAATGAGAAGATTTTATCGACAACTAAAGAGATAAAATTTAAAATGTTACTTACATGTTGAATAATCCCGAAATTATATATATTTATCATACATGGAACACTAATATTTATTGCTGACTTTCAGTGGATAGGCCCATACAACAATAATATGTTCTTTACGAAGGCTTACTGAACTGAAGTTTGAAACGACCATATTGCTACCTCGCCTGGAGGTTCGATGGGCAACTCAATAATAAAATTTCGAGCCCTACTGCCGTAGCGAAGCAATATTTTCATGAAATATTCATTTATTTCCCTCAACAATTGGACATAATCTGTCTCTCCTGCAATACCATTGGCTATAATACTTTATTATCAAATGTTAATAACAAAATTCTAAATTTATAAGCTATTCTGACATATTTATTTTTCCCAACAATAGGACATGGTGTGCCACTCCTGCAATGTCATTGGTTATCATATTTTATTGTCAACTAATAATAACAAAATTCTAAATTTATAACCTATTCTGACATATTTTATTTCCCCCAACAGGAGGACATGGTGTGCCACTCCTGCAATGCCATTGACTATAATACTTTTATTGTCAAGTAATAACAACAAAATTCTAAATTTAAAAGCTATTCTGACATATTTTATTTCCCCGACAGGAGGACATGGTGTGTCTCTCCTGCAACGCCACAGGCGAGAGGGTCTGCCTTGCCGCCGAAGGCTTCGGCAACCGCACTTGTTTCCTGGAGAACATCACGGACAAGGTCGGTGATACTAACCGATGTATGCATAATTTAGATTTTGTTCGTCTCCAAAATCTGTATTGGTAGATTTTTGTCTGCTTTAATTTGTTGTGCAGGGTTATTTCGCCAACGCAGGTTTTTGATGCCCACTTTTCCTTGAGCAGCTCTATTATGAATTTGCCTACAGGTTAATTTTTATGCATTTAATATTCACTTCACTTAAAAAACATTTAGTTACACTTCAAAAATTGAGTAAACGAATTAACATAAATGTTTCAGTATATTTTATCTCGAATGTCAGTATCTCGTATAATAAGGAATGCAATTTAAGTACATTGAATTTAATCTTTAAAAGTCACTTGAATTGTTGTTTCAGTTTCATGCCTTCTTACAGTTTATCTTGTTATGTATGTTTCCAGTAGGTATAGCGTTGTAAAATTCTACCAGTTGTTCGTTGTTCTCGCGTAGGAATGGCATTTCGGCGCATTGGCCGATTGCCAATGTTAGTCTGCGGTAAACACTCCCAGTATTTCATTTACTTTATATTCTTCTGTTTCTGTTAGACGTACACGTATTAAGCAGACGCCACTTGCGCTGTCATTTTTTGCATTATTATATGCAACTCATTAATTTTTTTATTTTACTAGATCCATGTAAACTAACGAAACTATTCCTGTGTTACTTTTTACTGGAGTATGAATTACTGCTCTCCGAGTTCAGGAGCTGGCACAATGCAGATTGTGGAGATCAAAAAATGATGGTTTAGGTTTTATACTTTGGAGTATTGATTAAACTTGATTATTGCTTAATTTCATCTCTTTGAATAAATTGGTTTTTGCTTAATTTAATTTTTCATTCAGAAATTGGGATTTTTATGGTTTTAATTCAGTTTCTTTTTTAAAATATTTTGTTTCTGCTCAGTATTTTTTAATTATTAACATCATTCGATTAATAGGCAGCCAGCTTCTTTTGTATGCATCGACAAATTTTCAAACATTTATTGTCTATAAAATTTAAAAATGCCTATGCTACCTAAAAATCTGCACTCCCAATTTCTTACATAATAACAATAAGGACGATCTAAATTATTTAATTATTAATACGGATAATCAAAGACGTTATATTTTTCAGTAAAATTTATCTTCATACGATAAGAACGACAGAAATTTTTAGAATTGTAAATACACTTTGGAAGATTTTAGTACCTCAAAACTTTTCTAATGATATATAGCCATTTGTTGATTTTAGTGTGACATATATTATTGTGACAAATATTATAGTGACATTTCATTATATAGTGATTATATTGATTGTGGTGATTAAAGTGATTGAATTGGTTATAGTGATATTTCATTTGGTGATTAACATGATCATTGTTGTAGATTATAGCGACATATATTGAGTAAGGAACTAACATTTGTTTGCATTATTGAGCAGAACAGCCCGCCAGATCTGTCGCAGTGCGTGTTTGTGATCGAACAAGCGCTGTCGGTGCGGGCGCTTCAAGAGCTTGTCACCGCCGCGGCCAATGAGTCGGTGGGTGACGAGAGGGGGGGGCGGGGGACCATAGGGTGCTTCGGGTCTTGGTGGATCCTCAAGAATTTTTTGAAATTTTTGAGGGATATATGCAAATGTTTGAATGAATGCTTTAAAAGGATTTAAAATGATAGCAAGTGTTTAGAAGAAGGTTTGAAAAGGTTCTCGAATAACAGGACATGTTTGTTTGAATGTGTGAAAAGGCTCTAAAATTATAGAAGATGTTAATGAATGTTTGAAAATGCCTAAAATTGATGGCAAACGTTTGAATGCTCGCAAGTCTGAAGAATGTTTGAGAGTACTGATGGATAAATGCAAGTGTTCGAATGTCGGTGGATCTTGGAAGGTGTTTGAAAATGTTGCATAACTGCAATAAATTTTCGTTTTGTATGAATTTGGCTGATCTTAGAGTATTTATGGAGGTATTAAGATATTAATGAAGCCACATTAAGTGAGTGCACAGCCAGGTCAAAAGTGACTTAATTACTAACTAGAGCCATATCTTAACTGACTTACAAACTGCAACATGTCACACAGGACTCAATGTCTATATAGCCGAGATAATGTAGTTGGCACTCATATCGCAACTGTCACTCGCCTCAGCAATAAACAACAAGCGCATCGGGCTTAAAAAATTGATTTGGTTTGTCAGTCTACGTCGTAATTTTTCTTTCGCTTCTTCTAGTCACCTCGCGCAATTTGAGTTCAAGTTTATTCTTTACGTTTGCGCTCCCAGTTTGTCTCCGCTTAATTGTGATTCGAGCATGTAATCTTTATCACCAGAGAACGAATCTCGTGTTCCTTACAATCAAGTTTTTGGTACTTTACATGTATTTTTACGACCATTTCTTGATCATTCACTTGAAACATATCGAGCCGCTTGAAAACTAATCAAAACTGATACTAAAGTGCCCAGCAATGAAATATCGTCAATATTTTCCTTTGCAGTTACACTTATTCTTCTACAATCTATTCAACATATTCACTTCACAAATAAATTGGTCAAATGCTCGCGGAAAACAACGATGAGTGATCATGCGTCGCTATTGATGATCTTCAGCCATGAAATTTTAGTTTCTTGTGCATTTTTTTAGTCTTTCGCTTCTCCTTGTCAACGTGACTTATACGAGTACTATTTCGGACAGGTCATCTCGCAATATGTCAAACATATGCTCAGTTGGTCGTACCCTCGGTAGGCCCACCCCCTGTAGGCCCTACCCTCCGTAGGCCCTATCCTACCCCATGTAGGAACTACCCTCGGTATGCCCTACCCTATGTAGGCACTACCCTCCGTAGGCCCTACCCTCCGTAGGCCCTACCCTCTGTAGGCCCTACCCTCTGTAGGCTCTACCCTCTGTAGGCTCTACCCTCTGTAGGCTCTACCCTCTGTAGGCTCTACCCTCCGTAGGCCCTACTCTCCGTAGGTCATGCTGCGCTATTATCGAGCTCTTCTGCAGCGATGACCCCTCATCCCCTTGTCGCTCCCTCCTCTTCTCCACACAGTCTCAATGTTCTCGTTTTTAAGTTGTTTTTACTTTTTTAAGTTTTAAGTTTTGCTCCTTTTTGGCTTCATTCTACTGATTATCCTCATTTCTTTCTACCTACTTTATTTCTCTTCCAATTCCTATATTCTTTCGCCTAGCTCCATTCCTCTTAGAGTTCCACATTAATTTCATTTTCATTCATCTTCTAGTTCCTCCATACCCTCGGCTTTATCCCTATTAAATTTTCTCCATACTCTCGTCTTCTTTCCTATTATGGCTCACCCATACTCTGGTAATCCTCATAGAACTAACTCTCATTACTTTAATCTTCGCTTCTTTCGTCCCCTCATTTCCCCTCTTCCTCTACTCACGGTGTTTGTGTACCGACATGCCCTCGAGCAGACTGCCCTCAGAAGGCTGTATTTCGTGCCCTGTAATCCCCTCAAGTCAAAGCAAAAGTGAGGCGAAATGCATGCCGATGCTCAGAGCTCGAACTTATTCGTTCTCGTACTTATTTGTTGACGAAAAGTTGCTGCACTGAGTACTGCATCGAGTTTCGTATGCAATGCACTAGTAATTAGTTTCGACGTAGCGTGTCGAGAGATTTCATCGTTTCTCCACATACTGGGTTCGTTTTCAAGGAAATGAGGAAATTTTTTTAACTTTAACAGCTATTTTAAATTAGTTTATCATTCTCCAGAGATTTGTATTTATATTATATGACAATATACACATCATTTGTACAAATTTGTTGTGCAATTATAACAAATACCAGTTTTACATTTTAAATAATTTAAAAATCCATATGAAGTCAAATAAACAATAAATTTAAATAGCAATAAATAAATGTAATAAATTTTAAAATCCAAATAGTCTCAACATTTTAGAGAAAATTTCCCAAGGAGTGTTGGTCAAAACTACTTCTCATAACTCAATTTTGAAGTAAAATAGTTGAATTTAAATAATAATTTAGCTCCGAGATTCGCTATTGAAATTTAAGCTCAAACAGCCAACTTTGGAAAGTGCATACAGGGTTTGAAAAACATGAAAAATTTCCTCAAGTGCCAAGTGCCGAGCAAGATTTTTTTCAGTGCTATGAATTTTATGAACGGCCAAAATTCACCTTAAATGAAGGCACTTTCAAAATAAACCTTTTGAAAAGCTAGAGTAGATCTTTGTTTCGGAAAATCTGAACACTGCTAGTGGAAGGCACTGCGTGTGACTGTGTGACCTGGTTTGTTGAAAGGACCCGGGAAGATATTTTATGACGTTTGAAATAGTATGAATTGTAGAACGGAATGAATTTTCATACGAAAAAAGTGACTAGTATCTGATTTTGGAACATATTTTCTCGTGAATTTAAAGAGGATGAATGTTATCGTGTGATTGCTTCATTTGTACATAGCGGATTTGAAGGAATTTAGCGCCTCTGTGAGTCATTTAAATTTTAAAGTTATTAAAAAAATGAATTATTACTGCGATTTCTGACTCTGATTCGCGCATTTTGCGAATGACTTCAGGTTTAAGGCGTGCTAGAATTTCACATTCATCCAATGTGTATTTTATGAAATTTCTCTATAATTCCACTGGTTTACGCAATAAATCGAAATAATCATAATTAGTTATTGTGTTGGGGCCGTCAAAGGCTTCCATGTGAAAAAAAATTTGCCAATGTTTAGAATTGAAATACACATGCAGAGATTCAGGGACACTCTGCAAAGTCTTGCTCACTCCACTCATTGTCTCAGCCAGTCTTTCCTTCTCTAATTTTGTACAGATCATCTATCTCCTAATCGAGTGACAATTTTTATAACAATTTATAGCTTGATTACTACTATTGAGTGGAAACTGTTATAAACTATCTCTTGGAAATCTTTGTTGAATTTGCTCTGTGTGACCGATGATCGCATGGTTAGTTGATACCTAAATGTACTTATAAAAGGTTGACGCTCCACATGCATCCCTCATTAGACAGCTTGATTGACTGCAGTCAGATTGAAAACTATTACAAAAACCTTTCATGTGACAATAGATTTCACATTTTCATTATTAGTTATGAATTCATAACAGAGAGCAAAATATTGGTATATTGCAGGTATTGTTTTGTCTTGAGCGAAAATCATTTCTACTTTCATTTGCCTCGATAATTGGTCTGTCTGGCATTCATAGGGTAGGAAAATATTTTTTTAAATCGGTTATTATTTCAAGATGTCTTATTTCTTGCGTTATTTTCGTACTAACAGGAGTTAATTATGACTAAAATCGAAAGAAATATGTTATATAAGAAAATAAGTATCACCAGTCCGAAACTCCTGTAATAATAGTTAGGAACTCATAAAATGAGAGTTATCCATAAGCTCATGAAATAAGAGTTAGTCAGGATATCGTAGAATAAAAATAAAAATGCAATATAATACAACAAAACTTGAATGCTAAGCGTTTGTAAATAATTTGTGCTAAACTTACGCGTAGATAGAAGTATGTATGCTCAATGGTTGGCTAAAATATTCAGTGTCTGCTACACCATAAGATGCGTGTACAAATGTTTTGCTATAAATGCGTCAGTGACGCCATGCAAAGAGCTCTGCAGAAGACATGACTTCCCTCCCAGATAACTTCTAACTTATTGTTGTTATGTGTGCAGCAAGAGAGCGAAGGCGCAGTAAGTATCTACACACCACTACTTCAATTCAAACTCAACGTTTTATTTTTAAGCTATCAAAGGCTTGTAGTTTCTCACGTGCAATCTCTACGTCCCCAGTCAAAAATCGAGGATGTTTCACCGGCGATTAGACGGTAGGCGAACAATCATGATAGCAGAGTGTGTATATTGCTTAATTGTGGTACGCTTATAAATCACTGCATGGTATCCACAAGAGGCCGTGAAGTTATTATAACCGTGTGCCTAATGAAAAATGTCGCTGGCCGCGATAACGTCTGTTACGCCAATGGACAACTTTGAAAACTTATTCCTAAATTTATACATGGGTGAAAATTTTATTTAAAGCAGTTTCGAAGAAAGAGATTCGAGCTGAAAAGAGATATAAATAGATTCCGAATCAATTTAATTTCGATAAAGATGAATGTCACGAAGCAACGTAAAAATTTGAAAGTGATTATTATCAATATCGAAATGAAATTAGGATGGAGAAATTTTTTATTTATTTTGTAGGTTTTTTTAACCAGGTAATTCGATTTGTTACCTGGTAAAAATGCTGATTGAGCCATTCTGTGTCATCGAATATTAATGGTTTATGTTTCAATATGCACACGTGTTTCTTAGTGGATTGTAATGTAAACTAGCGACGTCTACTCTATTAAATCTCAAAAGTAGTCGATCCTCAAATAAAGCATTCATTCTGTAAGTACTACGTGGAACACCTAGAAACCATGCGACGAAGTTCCACTGACATCTTTGTATGCTAAAGCAACAGCACACGCTCTTCCTACTGCAGTCTGAGTAAGGTTTCAATTTTCAGACAGTGATCTCATAATTTCTTCGACCGGCGATAGTGGTAAAATTCTCGAGTTCAGCTTCACAATCCCTACTCATTGATATTGATTAATGTGCTGCATAAACATGTATGTGATGCATAAAACAAAGAATTTATTAAAAGCAGTAAAAGAGTTTAAGAAGTGTTTAATTCGGCAGGATACCGTGGAATATACGTAGATACTCAAGTATTGGTCCAGATTCGACTACTGTATAGATGTTGCGCCTGAGTTACATGCGGCGACGGTGGGTATCGTATAAGCGCTGCCGCGTGCGGTTCGCCTTAGTTACCCACCGAGGCCGCTTGCTGCTCATGAGCGATAAGGCGATCTTGAAAACTGAACACTTCGTCGGTGTTTCGGCGATGATACACGCGCACTCGATCTACCTCAATGTGCTGGCGAAATGTTCTAGATTTTTGACTGGGTACCAAAGACGTTTTACAAACATTGCAGTATTTTGCTTTCTTTCTTTTTGGCGTCGAAGAAACATTAATTTTCAAGCAATTTTACTCGCACTAACTCATTTTTTAATTTTTTAAAATTGTGTAAACAGCTTCTATTCCGTGTTTATTAAAATTTATTGTATTCCAGCGTCGTGACTGCATGTCCCGGCTGCAGCATCAATTATCTCCATTGTGTATTCCGCTTTTTCGATGTAATTTTGCATTTCAATTTATACATTTTTTTGTAGTTCTCTTTTAGATCCAGTCCGCCAGCTCCCTGCTGAGAATGTTCCCTTACTTACTAAAGCGATAATAAAAGATAAATTATGGATTAAAATTTATATTATACGCAAGTTTCATTAATTCAATTTTGATCCCAGAGCGTCCACTTTTTAAAATTTATATTCTTGGCTTTAGGCTTCTTTGTTTATATTATTTAGCCATCTTATTTTGTTTTCGGCATCGTATTTTCCAATTGATAATATTGAAATAAGTTTGTTATTACTTCTCATAATTTATTGGTGCGTACTTCAAATTTTGAAATTTTCTTCCAATGCCTTCCATGCTTCTTTTGGTTATGCGAGTTACCAGTTAAAATTCATGGCAAAAACTTTTATTTTTACGAATTTGCTTCTTCTGATAGCAGCCTTACTTTATTGTAATAATTGCGTTCAATATAAATAGGTTTTTTAACTGTCTTCGGCATTACCGTGCCATATTTCATGTAATGCCCGTGTTTATACCTGTTGGTGTAACTTAGAAAAGTTTTGTTCATTCCTGTTGCGCTCAACGCGAGTCTGAGCTGTCAATTAAGTTGCATAGCGTCGGTTTACCTCAGCGGTCGCTTTAGTTACAACAAGAAATTGTTGATGAAAATTGCGTGTCTAGGGGCGACATAAACCATGTCGTATCCGAAGCTTGTATTACTTCGGTGTTTATTCATTAAGAATCCTTCCTAAATTATATGTTCTAACTATATGTGCCGAAGAATTAAAAATTTTGTGATAATTGACCCTTTTTTTCGTTCGTGTGTCTGTTGTCTGACAGTCGTTGATTCTCCTTTGCCGTATGTTCATGAATGTGAATTTTTAAACGGGATATTTGTTTCTTTGCTTTAAATGTCATTGATAATTGTTGTGTTTATATTATACGTATGAACTTTTGCCTAGACGAAATTTTTGCATCATTTACTTAAATGTAGTATTATTTTTCCACTATTTTCAATAGTGGAAAAAATTTTTTCCACTATTGCTTTCAATAAATTTCTTATTCCAATCCCCTTTCGCTGGACTTTCGTGTAATCTCCCCATGAATATCGTCGATCTAATTTTGTTTGTCTGTTTCCTTATGTCATATGTTATTACATTAATTTTCTAAAAGGCTACCTTTCGTGCTACGAAACCCATTTTCACTTTTTTACCATCTTAAATGATTATACACGAATTTTTAAAAGGGCATCATTTTGTGCTATAACCCATTTTCGCTTTTTAGTATCAAGAACACTCAATTTTGTCTCAAAAGTTCTGACCTGACTCGTATAGGGAGACTTTCCTTGTGGCTTGATTTTCCGTATTTCTTCAAAGTTACCGACACTTGACGCTCGCAATCATTCACTTTTTCTTCTTTGCTCCTCTCACGAAAATATAATTATTTTATTTTTCGCTGCTTCCCGTGACGAGGTTCGTAGTCGAACTGTCGCTTAATGTGCATTTGTTACTGACATCGTCACTGTTATATTCCCTGCCGCCAGTGGCCTAATGCTTTGTTCTATCTTATTTTTATGTTTATTGCATTTTCTTTCTATTTAGGTTCTCCTGCTGCTACACCAGCTATATACTAAACTATTCGGATTATATCTCCATGCCTCTCACCACTCCTCTCATTCCCCTATCATTCCCCTCTAATTCCCCTCTCATTCCCCTCCCATTCATTTTTTTCCTCTCGATTCCTCTATGCTTTCACCACTCCTCTCATCCCCTCTCATTCCTCTACCATTCCTCCATGCCTCCCACCACTCCTCCCATTCCCCTTCCATGCCTCTCACTCCGCATCTCATTCCATGTCATCTCCTCCCCCGACCCCACTAGCCCCAACGCTCTATCTTCCCTCTGTGTATCCCCAGGGTAAAGGGACAGGGTCGGGACACCGCACGCTGCTCTACGGCAATGCTGTGCTGCTGCACCACGAGAACTCCAGCATGGTCAGTGACGCCCAGAGTTGTTCCTATCTTGGCATGCATATGTTCTTTTAAATCAATTGATCAGTCATTCGTTGATTTAAATCAAAGATTTAAAATATTTATATCAATCAAAGATTGATTGATTTAAATGAAAGATTTAAGAGATTTAAATCAATCAAAGATTGATTGATTTAAATGAAAGATTTAAGAGATTTAAATCAATCAAAGATTGATTGACTTAAATCGAAGATTTAAAAGATTCAAATCAATCAGAGATTGATTGATTTAAAATTTTAAATCAAAGTTCTTAATCAATAAATTTATTTAAATCTTTTAAATCAATTTTCATGATATTTGATGTTGCTTTGAATTGTTGTTTGGTGTTGCCTTGAATACATCGATGAGTGAACTGATCACATAAATGCAATGTTCATTTTACTTTTGTTTATATTTGATAACCTTTTTATTTTTTTCATTTTTATACATGTTTTCTGAAAGTTTTCTTCGGCTTTTATCTTTTAGTGTTCAAGTTTATTTTCTTTATTATGTATATGTGAGATGATATTTGATTTGCAGCTATCACGACAAACAATAAAATACTTTTATTTAAATCGCTCACTAAAAATACAATCAAAAAAATACGCAACTGACATTATCTGGTTTAAATACTTCGACTCTTTAATTCTATCTACAGGAAATTCTTGCGTTGTATACATACTCTGCAGTCTTACGGTTATTTTGTTCGAAATTGGCGTATCAAATATTGTCTGCACATCCGTTTATTATCTATGAGAAAAAGTAATAACATATTTTGCACACCTATTTTCTTTCAACTATCTAACGACAAATTCACTGGTGAACGGTTTTAAATCTTTTTGCCTATAAATTGACCTCTGAAATACTGTGATGTTTTCGCACAATCGAAAGGTAATGGCATTAATTTTGTTTAATTAGTATTCAAAACGTTTAGTTGCAAATAAATTGACAATGGATAAGCGGTTCTAATTTTTACCTGTAAATTTAATTACTTCCAAAACTAACAAATGTTCAGTTCCAGCAGCTTCAACAGAATATTCAGAATTTGGTTCAAATGATTTACTGTCCTAAACGGTGGTTAAATAAAATGTCCGTGGCTGGTTAAATAATCCAGGATGATGTCATTGTGATTTAGAAAAGTTAGGCCGGACAGTCTCTGGCTGACTTCTTCTGGTACAATTCACTATGCTGTACACTATACAATACTGTGGTGTACACTATACAATACTGTGTACAATTGCACTATATTTAACCTATCGATTGACTGTCCTATTGATGTACCGAGCAGTACCTAGCATGTCTCTCGACGAGCTCGTCCCGCGATAAGCTGGCGTTCGACGTCGGTCTTCAGGAGCACTCGCAAGGTGACGACCTACTAACCTGAGGGTCCAACCTGAGGTAGTGGGTTCTATGTTTCATTATAGAATTCAACTTCAGTAATTTATTATTTTTACAGGTTCAGTAATTCAGAGTTCTTAGAATTATTAAATGCAAAGTAACGCATGAGCAACTTTGCCGTACATTTTCGTCTGTGCTAGTATACTTCAATTAAAATACAAATTGGCAACAAATAAAAGTAATTTTTTTCCAGAATGAATCCGGCTTGTAAATTTCATTCGAAATAACATTTTTTAATTCAGGTTTTTTAACCATGCGTTTATATGTATAGTGGCATTACTGTGAGTGTCATATTTTAGCCAATATAAAGCCAATAGCCGTTATGTTTTGACACATGGTAGTGTATATATTTTATCCCTTGTTTCATTTTTCAAAACCGAAATGGAATCTTTGAATCGCAATAGGTGAAGAGTAAGTTGAACTTGAAGTTTAGTGAAAGAATTTCAGCTAGGGAGCTACGCCATCATAATTTCTGCTGCTATCCGGATTTAAATGAAAATATTTCTATCATGATTTTCACCATGCAACAGTCATAATTAAAATAACGAGGTACTGAAGAAGTACTGAATAAATCATAAATTCTCAGTATATTAGCTTCGGGTGTGAACTCTGATTAAGATTAAAATGATAAACACTCGCCTGAAACACAGTGGTCATTACGGCAACTCGGGCAATTCTGGAGAATTAGGGCTCGACTCTATGCCTTTTTATTCTTGAATGCTATGCTCACCGCTATGAGCATTGCTGATATTATTCTCGAGGCAAATGACGTTGAAACAACGTTAGTGCAAGTTCACTTCTTTAAAACAACCGTAATAACGAGTTGATTTCGTTTAAACAACGTTGAATCAACGTTATTCCAGCGTCAAGTGCCTATAGTGTATAGTAATTTTTTGCATTTCCGTGTTATTTAATTTTACCGTTTAGAGAGACAACGCCAATGACGTCGAAACGATTATGTCCTTATTATCCTTTTTATCATTGGTATATCTTTCGAACGTTGCAGTCGCAGAACAGGATGGATCGCCGCCTCTGACTATCGTGCATGTTGTCAACGACTTGAATTCGTTGAAACGAGATTTGTTCTAAGTTGCTTTAACTTGAGATGCTTAGTGAGTAGTAATTCCATCTCTATGTTATAATGTAATTTAATTTCAGCGTTTAGGAGCTGTTGCTCGAGTTTATTGTTTGTAAGAGACTGTTTGTGTGTAGTTTCTCAGTACACGTGCCGTTTGCGACAGGCGAGTCCTGCTGGTGGACCATCCACCCCGCCAGCAAGCAGCGGTCCGAGGGCGAGAAAGTTCGCGTGGGCGACGACCTCATCTTAGTGTCGGTTGCTACAGAGCGATATTTGGTGAGTCTTATTGCCTAATTGATCTGCTCTGGAAGGTATTTATGTTTTTAGTAAAGCATTCATGAGCATAATGAGGATTAAACAACAATATATTTTACAACAGAACAAAACTATTTTTGTGAATGAAAAAAAAATTGTTAGTTCACCACGTTCAAGCAGATGGCTTTTTATCGTTGTTGATTGCTCCAAAAGTTGAAATTTGTTTATTTCTATTGAAAAATTTAAACTCTTCTGTATTTGTGTCTCCTTCTTTTCGTTTCACTTTGAATTCCTCCATTATAGCCATTCTCTGATTAACTTAGCTTGTTAAATTCAGTTGTTATCGAATCATCACGATTAAAATCGTCTAAATCTTCATCAAATCATCATGCCCTAATGAGTTTTTGATAACGTCACTTTTCGTCGGGCAGCAAGCGACGAAGGAGGACGACCAGAGCATCGTCAACGCATCGTTCCACGTCACGCATTGGTCGGTGGCACCCTTTGGCACCGGCCTCTCCCGCCTCAAGTTTGTGGGTGAGCGCTGGTGCCCGTGGCCTATACTTTCAAAAAAAGTTATGAGATCGTAAGTTTATCAGCCAATCATTGGCGGCCTTTCAAGCAAAATCCACCAATTATAGACAAGAAAACCGAGCGTAAGTACTTACTTAGCAAATTTGGAAAGTATGTCCCCAGGACGTATTGAAATAATGAACTTCAGGGGCCGTGCTATCGAAGATAGTTACGTTTGCGTAACTCCGTCACACTATCACAGACGGCTTTTCAAGCTACACCTACCAATCACAGACGAGAAATCGACCACTACGTGCATTTTGGCTATTAACCGTTCTTCTGCAGCGCCCATGAGTTACGACCTCGTACATCTCTTCAAGTACGCCCGTTTTGTACAACACTTGAGCATTCTCGTGGTGACCGATTGAATAGGATCACCAAGATCACAAAAGCGAAATACGAAACCCGCAAGTAATTGTTAAAATTTTTGTCAAATTGCAAAGTGGGCGAGCTTAGAACCGGCGACAGGCCTGATCAAAGTTGACTCCACTATTGTAAACAAATTCTTTCACGACTATTCTTGAACCACTGAGCTTTTTAATCGATTTTGCATCCCCGCGTACTTTCTCCGTATTTGGACGAGTTACGGACACCGGGGCATCAGTCATGTTCAGTAAATTAAAGCATTCTGATTGCGTATCTAAACTGAATTTTTATTTGTAAGCGTGACGGGCTTGTGCAGGTCATGGTAAGTTAATTTTTTGAAGTGTCGACGAGATGTTTCAGAGATACCATATGTTTCTATTTTATTTTGGGCCATTTTTGAGGTTGGCGAAATGGTTAAATTTGCTGCCGTTTGGTTTAATGCATATTGCATGGTCCTGCAATCACAGAATTTATCCTGGAGACTTCATTACCTAATAAATTATTGCTACGTACCTTACTATATCAGTTTCACTGCCTCTCGTCCACAGAATTCAAGTCACCTACCCAGTTCAGCACATGATCTAGCATGAATAGTTGAATCACTACAAATTGAAGATTTGTGAACTCATTGGTTTGACGTTATTTGGGTCGAAGAAAACTATTGTGTTATGCATTCCATGTCACATTAACGATCTATAGGCCTATTTTGCAATCCTCACGTGAACATCGTCTTCCAACCGCAGCGTGCGTGTTTGGAGGCGAGGTGCTGCGGTTCTTCCACGGCGGAGACGAATGCCTCTCTATACCGTCCACCTGGTCCGACCAACCCGGGCAGAAGTGAGCAACAGCAATACTCCAGGAAAATAACATTGAAAAAACGTTTAATAAACGTCATTTCAACGTTACCATTTAATGAACGTTAAATCAACTTAAACTTTAAATCGACGTAATTTAAACGTTTTAACGTTCAAGTTTATCCAACGTTAATCTCATGTCTGGTGGACTTGGCCTTGGCCGGCACCGCATTTGAAGTCGATGTTAAGCTCTTTAAAATCTCTTTAAAATCTATTTTGTTGCTGATGGTACATTGCATTAGCTTAAAATTTCAAACATGAATAATGCGTCAAAAACTTGATTATCATTGAAATTATTTTGTAGCTTCAGAGAATAGATACTGATTTCGCACTGAAATGGCTTAAGAAATTTCTTTTTAGTTTACTTTACACTTGAGTTATTTGAACACCTCTATTCAATGTGGCAGGGCATTGGTGCAAATCTCACATCGATCTATTTGCATAACTAACTCGGTATCTTGGTGTGGCAGCATCATATGAACTATATAGTCATTCACAATGATGCCACATTACTCCACAGCACACTATTTTGATATGGCAGTTTGTGGTGTACGTATAGTCACTATGATGCCATGTTACGCAACATCACTTTATCTTGATGTGTCAGCATCGAGGTGTACGATTGTCACTATGATGCTCATCCAACTGTCACAATGAAGTCACATCACTCATAATGATGACACCACATCACATAATCTCGGTGTGGCAGCATCGTGGTGTACGAGGGTGGCTCGGTGACATCACAGGCTCGGTCGTTGTGGCGGCTGGAGCTCGCACGTACCAAGTGGGCGGGCGGCTACATCAATTGGTTCCACCCGATGCGCCTGCGACACATCACAACCGGCCGATACCTGGGCATCAACCAGCAGCATGAGCTCGTCTTGCTGGAGAGGTTGTTTTCTATTACTTTTATGTCTTATTAGATTGCTTACGGATAGACATAAAGATAAGATGAGATTGCTTACGGATAGTTCTTATTTCCAATGTGAGTGATTTTGAAAGACGTCTCTGGCATGTTTCTTCTTTCATTTACATCAGTGCCTTATTTCTTATATTAGTTATTTTATGAGAAGTCGTTTGCTTCTGCCCGATTTAATTTGCATCCCGTTCTTTATCTCCTATATTCGCAATTTTGAGGGTTGATATCCTGAGGTTTCTTTGCATATAATACTTTTAGAGACTATCTTTGCGACGACGATAGCAACATCAGTTGATGTATGTAACATCACTTGTTGTATGTAACATCAGTTGATGTATATTATATCAGTAGATGTATGTTAAATGCATTAAGAGAATTATTTCTTCGACCCTGAAATGCATGGTTTGGTCGCAGAGACGAGGCGACGCTGGCAGCGACTGCGTTCTACCTGCGCGAGGAGAAGGACGACAACAAAGTAATCCTCGAGGACAAGGATCTGGAGGTGATCGGCACGGCTCTCATCAAGTATGGTGACTCGACCGTCATCGTGCAGCACATCGAGACCGGACTCTGGCTCTCCTATAGAGTGCGTCTCACTTGTCAAGAGCTTAACTTGTGTGTCTTATGCATTGTCTAGCGTCAGTAACTATATATGTACAGTAACTATATATGTACGGTATATATGTACATCATGGCGATATAAATGCACAAGCAAGAAGTGCATCATGTATATAATGACGTTAACTAGTGATACCAATGGCCAAAGGATTAAGTTAACAACGGTTGATTTACCAGTACGCAAAGGGTTGATGATGATCTGGTAACTTTAGCTACCAGATCTTTAGGTATAAATGCACTGCCAATATAGTTGATATATCAGCGGACAAAAACAATTTTTTTACTAACGTTAACTTCTGATACATGTGTGTAGTTATGGACTTGATATATGAATAACTTTAATGAAGTTTATTGTATCCGTTAACAAATGGGTTGACTACAGCGTTCATTTGTTTTTTTAGTTTTATATGGTTTCTCACCTAAACTTCATTTTATTTATCGTATACGGTGGGTGACAGCTCATTTCTTCGAACTAGTTGACTCTGCCGCGGTATCTTTTAGAAAGAAAATATTTGGCAATATCATTCAAATGGTTTTGTAAATAACCGGAAAATATTTGTCTGGCAGTCCTTCTTATTCTAAAAATTATGTAACCAGAAATTGGCTCTGCAATTAAAAGGTAAATATTCAACGTGCAAGCATTTTTCTTTCACTAAACTTGGAACCAGTGATACCTCGAAATAGGCACGGTAAATGACAGTCGAATTTTCAGCCTGTCGGCGTTTTTCTTTAAAGACATTATGTAACCTATACGATGAATTGCAATTTGATGTACAAGTATCAGGTAAAATAATGTACTTGCAGACCTTCACCATTTCGAAACTATGTAATTAACCTATGATACCCTGCAAATTCAAATATAAATGGAAGGTAAATATATGGCCTGCAAGCGTTGTTCCTTCGATAAATATTTAACTAACAATACACTGTAATAGACTACGTAAATAGCAGGTAAATATTTTTGCGTGCAGGCGTTCATTCTTCGGTAAATATGTAACTAACAATACATTGTAATAGACTACGTAAATATCAGGTAAATATTTTGCGTGCAAGCGTTCATCCTTCGACGAATATTAAACTAACAATACACTGTAATAGACTACGTAAATATTAGGTAAATATTTTGCGTGCAGGCGTTCGAGATCAAGAAGAAGGGCGTGGGCAAGGTGGAGGTGAAGCAGGCCATCCTGCATGAGGAAGGCAAGATGGACGACGGCCTGCAGTTCTACAGGAGCCAAGAGGAGGAGAGTAGGACTGCTAGGGTCATCAGGAAGTGTTCGCACCTCTTCAACAACTTCATCAAGTAATATTACTTTAGCTTCATTAATTGATATTCCTCAATGACTTCATCAAGTAATAATACTTAGTAGCTTCATTAATTGAAGTTCGTTAACAACTTCATCAAGTAATATTATTTGGTAGCTTCATTAATTGACATTCCTCTACGACTTCATCAAGTAATATTAATTACTACCTTCATTAATTGACATTCCTTAACGACTTCATCAAGTAATAATAATTACTACCTTCATTAGTTGACATTCCTCAACGACTTCATCTAGTATTATACCTTGAAATTTATGTCATGTATTATTGTTTTGCAACTCCATCAAGTAAAGTTATTTAAATTCATCAATAATTATTTATTAGTAGCTTCATCGACTAATATTACTTTACTATTTCATCAAGTGATATTACTCATCAAATTCATCAAGTAATAGTCCCCGTTTACTTGATGATGGTCTCCAGAAAGTTCTTGGTGTAATGAAGGCTGTCCTTCATCGAGGTTCATTTCCCTCACTCGGACACTTCAAACATTTAGGAACACCAACAATTTAATAGAACAAAGCAAGAAGCAAAATTTACATTGAGAGATAACGCCATACAATAAACTATCTGGCACATTAGCTGTTCAGTCTACCGATTAACAAGCGACATCTGCGAATTCCCTAAACAGGATAATCTGCTGCTTTTATCCGATCCTCGAAGTAAGAAGTCGGTTCCCGTGGTGGACATTGAGCACGAAAAGATTAAAAAGACAAGCTTGGCGAGTGCCACCTCGAGTCTAGTTCACGCGAGATCAGCAACCCTACACATTGAAAATAATAATACTTATGAACTGACTGAGACTGATCACTTAAGCACGTTAATTATGGAATCGCAATATTATCACTAAATAGCAACTGAATATGAAATAGATGCCGCATATTTTATTGTCTAATCTCAATTTGGTTGGACGGAAAATCTTACCAATAAAGGCAGGGTAGGTTGATTGGAACCAAAGCAACTAAAGGCGCAATGATTATAATTATTGTCAACCATGCCTAGAAATGGGTTGTCTACAGGAGGACTGCTGGGTAACGACTGGTCTAAGGTCCGGTCTATCACTCTTGTCGAGTGTTTCCAACCGGTGCCTTCTAGAATTTAATTTACAACTTTACGGCACTTCTTTAGCAACTTCATCAACAATATTACTGAACTACTTCTTCAAGTAATATTGCTAGGTAACTTCATCAGGCAATATTAAATACCACATCATAAATGCATCGAACGAACTACATTTAATTATTACACCGAACGAACTAAGTGCTATAGGTAACTACTTCTTTCGATGTAATAATTAAATATAGTTCGTCCGATACATTTATTATGTGGCATTTAGTAACAGCATTGAGTAATAATTGCGTGTCTGCAATACGTATTAATTACTATTTCAATTGAATAATTTCTTCAATCTTGCGTGCAATACGTTTTAATTATAATTTTAATTAAATAATTTCTTCAATTACGCGTTCAAGATGCCTGGATGAGATGCAGAGCAGCCGACGCCACTCAGTGCTGCTACGCAACGTCAGCCTCAAGGAGATGATCAACTGCCTCGAGGACCTCATCAACTACTTCGCCTACCCTTCCGATGAGCTCGGTGAGGTCTCTCATAAATGAGCTTGGTGAGGTCTCTCATAAATGAGCTCGGTGAGGTCTCTCATGAAGGAGCTCGGTGAGATCTCTCATGAAGGAGCTCGGTGAGGTCTCTCATGAATGAGCTCGGTGAGGTCTCTCATAAACGAGCTCGGTGAGGTCTCTCATGAATGAGCTCGGTGGGGTCCCTCATAAATGAGCTCGGTGGGGTCCCTCATAAATGAGCTCGGTGAGGTCTCTCATGAATGAGCTCGATGAGGTCTCTCATGAATGAGCTCGGTGAGGTCTCTCATGAATGAGCTCGGTGAGGTCTCTTATAAATGAGCTCGGTGAGGTCTCATGAACGAGCTCGGTGAGGTCTCTCCTCATAAACGAGCTCGGTGAGGTCTCTCATAATAAATGAGCTCGGTGAGGTCTCTCATGAACGAGCTCGGTGAGGTCTCTCATAAATGAACTCGGTGAGGTCTCTCATGCAGGAGCTCGGTGAGGTCTCTCATAAACGAGCTCGGTGAGGTCTCTCATGGATGAGCTCGGTGAGGTCTCTCATGAACGAGCTCGGTGAGGTCTCTCATAAATGAGCTCGGTGAGGTCTCTCATAAACGATGCTCGGTGAGGTATCTTATAAATAAATGAGCTCGGTGAGGTCTCTCATAATAAATGAGCTCGGTGAGGTCCCTCATAAATGAGCTCGGTGAAGTTTCTCATAAAAGAGCTCGGTGAGGTCTCTCATAAAGGAGCTCGGTGAGGTCTCTCATGAACGAGCTCGGTGAGGTCTCTCATAAATGAGCTCGATGAGGTCTCTCATAAACGAGCTCGGTGAGGTCTCTCATAAATGAGCTCGGTGAGGTCTCTCATGAAGGGGCTCGATGAGGTCTCTCATGAAGGAGCTCGGTGAGGTCTCTCATAAATGAGCTCGGTGAGGTCTCTCATAAATGAGCTCGGTGAGGTCTCTCCTCGTAAACGAGCTCGGTGAAATCCCTGTTGAACATTATGAGTGGTTGGGTCTCTCTGTCGAGCTCGGTGTGCTCTCCCCTCATAAACGAGCTCAGTGAGGTCTTCCCTCACAACCATTATGAGTGGTCCCTCAGACGCGCTCGGTAGATAGTAGTACGAACAATCCTGCTTTATTATTTCACTGAGACACAAATTTATTATTTAAAAATTTTCTGTAAAGTGTTACGGTATTACATAACCGTTTTAAACTAGCCAACAAATGAATAAATGTTTAATTCTATCCTTCGCAGTTCACGAGGAGCGTCAAGTGTGCCTGCGCGCCCTACGCAACCGGCAGGATCTGTTCCAAGAGGAAGGGATCCTCATCCTCATCCTCGACGCCATCGACAAGATCACGATCATTGCGTCGCAGGGATACATGGTCGCCCTCGTGGGCGAGGAGTCCGGCCAAGACTGGGAGATTATTTCAGGTCAGTAACGACGATCACTTTGTATATTTCTTGCGTCATATTTTCACTGCTATAATTGATACTATAATTTGTAACTTTTTACTTGAGATGCTATGTAGACAACGATCGTTTTGTATACTTCTTTTTCGTCTTGTTTTCACTCCTATGATTGATACGATTATTTGTAACCCTTTATTTGAAATGCTAACTCTCCTTACAAGGATATTGGAAAAGAATAATATTGACGACGAATAATGTATCTGTTGGCAAAGGGGAACCTTTGACTACTGACGGTAGCTCTCATTACCATGCCTTTCGATACCAATGACATTAATGAGGGTCAATGTTTCCTCAAACAAGAATTTAAATCAGTCTGCTCAAGGAGATTAAAAGACATGCATACATATGTCCGCTTATATGTTGTATTCAGAAAAAAGTGCATTTTTAATATTGTTTAAATAGTGGCACACTTTCTGCGCGTAACACTGATACGCCCGAGCCGAACTGGGTCAGAATGACACAAACTGGGACAGGATGACACACAAGATTTGAATTGCTATTTGGACCAAGTTGTTTCTCTCCGAGTGTACGATCATGGTTGATTATTTATTGCGGATGTTAGTATAAGATGACAGAATTTATTCCTTCCATCAAGTTTGATTGAAGTACAGAGAAAGAGTTCAAAGTACAAATTCTGCCATCTTATACTGATTATGGTTGCGTGAAGCCAACTCTGTACGTCACTAGTACCTATCCACTTTGCTTGGACCTCCTGCGGGCTGCATTCAACCCACACAATGACAAAAATTGCCACGCTTTTTACACAAAGTTTCTCTAATTTCTGTGAGATTATCGTTGAATGAAACCAACTCTGTAACGTCACTTGCCCCCTTTAGGTTACCTGTACCAACTTCTGGCTGCGGTCATCAAGGGCAACCACACGAACTGCTCGATATTCGCTAACAGCCACCGCCTAAACTGGCTCTTCTCGCGCCTGGGCTCGGCAGGCGAGGGCACAGGCATGCTTGATGTGCTGCACTGTGTCCTCATCGACTCTCCTGAAGCCCTCAACGTCATGAAGGTTAACTTCAATGTTTAAATTAGATAAACCCTCATGGGGACTTCTAACGTGTGTCTGTGCTCAGCAGAAGTCCTGTGGGATTTCAGATTCATAGGGACATGTTCACCCCACCACAGAGCTCGCGGTGTCTGACTGCAGGCCTCAGTTGTGGGGTTAAATTATTATGTAGGTAGGATTCCTTACATTACGTAAGGAATCCTACATTATGCAGGTAGGATTCCCTACATTAAGTTATTATGTATGTAGGATACTTTAAATTTCGCTTCTCTGTTTCTCTTGTGGGGCGGCCGACGTCCTGTGTAAGCGACCTCTTGTTCGAGTGTCTTAGTTTCTGTTTCTTTTCACCTGTCCCTCCTTATCACTTCGTCTCTTTGAGATGCTAACGCTGCTTCTTTCGAGTCAGTTTCACCCAACTGGACAATTGAGGCCTCCCGCCCCTTGTGGGTGATGATTATTATAAGACTTTGCTTGATAGAGACCTTCCGCCTTGCAGGCGTTATCTTTTGACTTCCTGTGTAAAATTGCTTGATAGCTGAAGCGCTAGCAAACCATTCTACTACTTAAAATTAATTGCTTCTTAAATTTTTCAAATGCTGATTTTTAAATCAACGTCATGAAGATTAAAGAACAAAAATTTTTATGAATCTGAGCAATATTCACTGACTGATTTTTATATTAGAGGAAAAAATATTAGAGGTAAGGTAAGGCAAGGGCAGGTAAGGTACGGGTACGTACGGGACTACGGGTCTTACCCCTGATATTATTCGCTATCTTTAACAATGAAATTGGGGGTAAAAATTGTTGAAAACCTTCGAGAATTGAACTGAATTTGGAGACTGAAGGTCTATTACATATATGTTGAACCCTCTAAATTCTTCCGCTAAATTTCCACTTTATTCTCTAACGGTAACTCTCGTAGCAGGCCCGTGGATGCGAATAATATTGACGGCAGTTAATGTATTCGTAAACACATGATTAAACATGTTTTTTTTCTGCTGATAATTTTATTGATCACGCGCCATGTTGTCGTATGCTCAAGTTTCATTTCCTACTGTAGATCTTTTTGTTGCAATTTAGGTATTGAATTCATCTCATTTCATCAGCCCCACAACGCTTTCACTTTGATAACCATAGAAGCATATATAAACGTAGACATGTAATCCGGCTAAAAATAATAGATTCTTTTATTACTGGAATATTATCTTGGCTGCACTGGCGTTGCGATGTCGACGTCGTGTTCTGGGGTCGTGTTATCAGAACTCGCTTAACCCTCTACCGCTTCATGTCACTCTCCGGGAACATAACTTTCAACTTAAATTATACGTAAACTAATTATTGTAGCAACCTGAGGACGTGTGTATGCATAAAAGAACATTTTAAAATTGTCGTACGTGGCGGCAACCATCAGTACAAGTAATTTTGCGCTCTCTAGAACGTATCCTTTTTAGGAAGTAGGCTTGTGACAATATTGCCCTGGTTACTCATGTGAGGCGGTAGAGGGTTTAGTTCACGTAGCGATAGATTTATCGTCTGCAATTTTTGGGTTTGGCTTTAAAAGACGTCAGTGATAGGAAGTCGGAGTGTCTAACTCATTATTACTTTTGATAGTACGGCTCCTGACGATGTTGCTTGGCATGGGTGTGCAGGAGGAGCAACTTACATTAAGTTATTATGTAGGTAGGATTCTTTACAGTAAATTATTATGTAGGTAGGATTCCTTACATTAAGTTATTGTGTAGGATTCCTTACATTTCTTTTCTCTGTCTCTCTCGTGCGGGCGGCCGACCTCCCGTGTAAGCGACCTCTTGTTCAAGTGCCTTCGTTTCTGTTGCTTTTCACCTGTCCCTCCTTGTCACTTCGTCTCTTTGAGACTGAAAGGCAATTACATATTTGTTGAACCCTCTAAATCTCCCGCTAAAATTTCCACTTTATTCTCTACCCTTAACGGTAACTCTCGTAGCAGGCCCGTGGATGTGAATAACATTGATGGCAGTTATTGTATTCGTAGACACATGATTAAATTGTCACAATATTGCTCCGGTTCCTCGTGTCAGGTGGAATATGGTCAAGTACACGTAGCGGTAGATTTATCGTCTGCGATTAATGGGTTTGGCTTGAAAAGCCGTCAGTGATAGGAAGTCGGAGTGTCTAACTCATTATTACTTTTGTTAGTACGCCTCCTGACGATGTTGCTTGGCATGGGTGTGCAGGAGGAGCACATTAAGGTGATCATCGCCCTACTGGAGAAGTACGGTCGGGACCCCAAAGTGCTAGACGTGTTGTGCTCGCTGTGCGTGGGCAACGGCACCGCCGTGCGCTCATCTCAGAACAACATTTGCGACTACCTCCTGCCGGGCAGGAACCTTCTCTTCCAGACGCAGCTGGTGGACCATGTCTCCAGGTCACCACAAACATGCACTGTCTTTCTTTTTTTTCTTGTTTATACACCCGATATACCTCATTGCCTTTCAATCCATTGTCCCTTGTTTATTGGTTGATCTTTTTTCGGTTTTCTTTTGCTTAAGTTCCGGGTTCATGCTTTTTTGAAATGTTTTTGTTTTTTTTTTTTTAGATTAATTACCTCTTTGGGTGATATGTGTATCAGCATCAAACACTTGCTTATTTTAATAATACCCACACACATATTTCCTGCACTCAAATAATGAATGTTTGGCCAAATAGTGATACTTTCTCACCCACAGCACTAGCTATAAGCTAAATTTTGCATTGATGCGTCCTTTTGCTGTGTAAAAATAGGTCAAGATTACATACACAAAGGCGGAATGTACATCGCTATATGGATAATAAGTCACTCATACCACCGAAATGATAAAAATTTCCATCGACCTTACAGCGTGCGGCCTAACATCTTCGTCGGACACGTGGAGGACTCAGCGATGTACCAGAAGTATTACTTCGAAGTCACCCTGGACCACATCGAGCAAGTGTCACACCTGTCACCCCACCTGAGGATTGGGTGGGCCAACACGTGTGGCTACGTCCCGTACCCTGGGGGCGGTGAGAAGTGGGGGGGCAACGGCGTGGGTGACGACCTCTACTCCTTCGGCTTCGATGGGTGCAATTTGTGGACGGGTGGGAGAGAGACAACTGTCAATCCTATAGTGAGTTGAGATTTACTCTTTTAAAAGCGCTTTTAAAGTAAAGATTTACTTTAATTTTAAATGTAAATACCGTTTGCTTGTTTAAATCGCAAATGTATTCGGAAATTAAAAGAAAAGAAAATGGCCATGAACTAGCTATTTCTTTGCAAAAGAAAACGTTTAGAATTCCAGCTCCATTGTCAGTTCAAATATTTTTACGACTTGCTCTTTAATTTACGTCTCCATTACTCGCTAGTTTTTATATTAGACGTCATGGAAATCTCACGTTTGATATTCCAAGTATTATTTCATAGCAGTAGTGCCCCAAAGAGATGAATTCAGTGTCATAAAAGCATATATTTTTTGCTATTTGTTCGCTTATTATATTGTCACTACCTGGTGGTAGTCTACTAACGAGGATTTAGGAATTTAAAAATTGGCCTCAGTATGTATCTTCAAATTAGTTCTCTCTGAATTATATATTATGACTTAGGTATTGAAGAATATCTTGACTAAACACGCTAATGAAAGTAAATTAACACTGAGCATTTAAGTCAGTGTAAGGCACGCAGTGTAAGTATGTAATCGTGTTACCATCGTGTTATAAGATCGTCATAAGCAAGTGTTGCTAGCTCACTCATAGAATTGAGTGGGACCTTTTCCAAATCTTAAAGCATTCTTTGCTCCTGTGTGGGCAACAGTGACACAGATTGGCCTGTATTATTGCCTATATCTGTGCTATGTTCGCTCTTTGCACGCGTAGTAAGAAAATGTGTATATTTGTACTATATTAGCTATTCATTTTTTGAGCATGTGGTGTAAATTCATGATAAGTATTGTAAGAAATTTGTATTCAAAGTGCCCTTGTGCAAGCAATGAAAGTAACTAAAATATGTGTACTATTTGAAATCTTTTACTCCGAAAAAGCCCATGTGTTAGCTAAGCAATGAAAGTAACTACTGTTAATTGTTATTTATTTAGGAGTCGACTCCATACATCAAGAAGGGTGACGTCATAGGCTGCGCACTGGATCTGACCGTACCCGTCATAACGTTCTACGTTAACGGGCGGCAGGTCAACGGAGCGTTCACAGGCTTCAACCTCGACGGGATGTTCTTCCCTGTGATCTCCGCTTCTGCTAAACTCAGGTATCTGTCCTTACCTTGCCTGCCCTTACCTTACCTGTCCTTGCCTTACCTGTCCTTACCTTACACCTTACCTGCCCTTACCTTACCTGCCCTTACCTTACCTGCCCTTGCCTTACCTGCCCTTGCCTTACCTGCCCTTACCTTACATGCCCTTACCTTACATGCCCTTACCTTACCTGTGGGCTTTTATATCATTACCTGTGGGGCCGTTATCCGCTTCCCTATTTCATGCCCTATATATGGCCATCTTCTTAATTTGGTCTCTCTGAACACTCTTATGCATTTGGGATCTCGGGCCATCGCGTTATTCTAATTCTATATAATGCTTTCCTTTTTTTCAATTTTTTCCTCGGAGCATTTTCTTAGTTATTGCGTAATTTTGATTGAGCGTTGACGGAATTTACGCGGCAAGATTTTAACACCATTTTCGGCATTTTTTCGGCTTTCAGCGCACGGTTCCTGCTGGGAGGCGAACACGGCCGCCTGAAATACCCGCCGCCTGAGGCACACTCGCCTGTCAACGAGTGCCTCCTCCCCTACCAGGCGAGTGCCCCCTCCACTAGCAGGCGAGTGCCTCCTCCCCTACCAGGCGAGTGCCTCCTCCATTAGCAGGCGAGTGCCCCCTCCACTACCAGGCGAGTGCCTCCTCCATTAGCAGGCGAGTGCCTCCTCCACTACCAGGCGAGTGCCCCCTCCACTAGCAGGCGAACTGCCTCTCTAGCCTATTGTATACAACATAACTCATAAACCAAACTAAGCTGTAAATCGTCACCGGCCCCGGTACCTGAGAGCTCAACAAATAAACATTCATATGAACATTTTTCTATTACGATAATTTCATAATTTGGCTCAAACTTTTATAGTTCCCATGAATTTCAAGTTGTCGTGATAATGTTTGATTTAGTAAGCAACTTGGAATCTCCCATCATCGTCATCGCAGTGTTGGCGCAATTGGTTAAGTTCGATTCGATTTCATTTGCCTGCTATAGACGTAGTTAGGTATATCTGTATATCCCCCATAAACTTATTTCACCTTTTTTATTAATTTTACCCTATTTATTTATTTATTTATTTATTTATTTATTTCACCCTATTTCTTTATTTCGTCCTATTTATTAATTTCACCTTATTCATTTTTTTCAGCCTGTTCATTTATTTCACCCTATTAATTTATTTCATCCTATTTATTCATTTCACCCTATTTATTTATATCACCCATTTCATTTTTTCAGCCTATTTATTTATTTTACCTTATTTATCTATTTCACCCTATTTATTTATTTCGCCCTATTTATTTATTTCACCCTATTTATTTATTTCACCCTAATTGCCACTTATTTCTAGTCACATGCAGAGCATATATTATAATGTTTCGTAACGCTGCTACCTACTTCATCATGGTGACAATACCGTCTTGACCTCCGTCACAGACGCTGTCCATCGACCCCTGCTTCTACTTCGGCGAGGTTCATAAGGCCACCGTCGCGGGACCGCTCCTCGTCGAAGATAACGTCGCCTTCGTCCCGCACCCGCTCGACACCAGCAACGTCAGTGAACGAGGCGTTTGTCGTTTGAAGAACGCTGGTTAAAAGTGTCTTCAGCGAAGTCAATTCGAAATCAACGTCGTTGAGACGATATCAATTCACAATCAATGTTGTTTCAACGAAAACAATTAGGTATTAATGTTGTTTCAACGAAAACAAAGAGTACTCAACGTTGTTTCAACGAAAACAAAGAGTAGGTAATCGACTCTGTTTCAACGAGATAACTCGTAATCAACGTTGTTTTAAAGTCACTTGCTTGACGAAAAATAAATTGTTTCGGTTTCCAAACAAGCTTTCAAAATCTTGGATTTAAAACCTGTAGACGGAAAAATTGTCAATAAATCTCGATAAACATACTAAATTTGGATGTTATTCTTTTCGCTCGGGCAACTAAAATTTTGGCTTGGCTAACAGCGGATTGAAAACATTCGTATGTATTTTCGAGAGTTCGCAACCATGAGCTTGCTTTTTAATAAAATTTTCAAAATATTTACTAGAACATCTTACATGCGTTCATTAAATCTGGCATCTTCCGTCTCCAGCAGTGCTAATTATGCTGATCTAGGGCACTGATATACTGATAATGTAAGAATACTTGAGATACTAATATTTCCGTTTTGGGCGATGCTGATTATGCTGATGTAGGGTGCTGATATACTTATAATGTACTAATACTCGATGTAGTAATGACCATTAATTAATACAGATTATGTTGCCTGGGTTCATCGAGCAAGTGAGGGACAAGTTGGCCGAAAACATCCACGAAATGTGGGCGATGAACAAGATAGAGCAAGGCTGGGGCTACGGGGAGCGGCGTGACGACCTGCGACTTCTGCATCCCTGCCTGACTTCCTTCGAGCAGCTCCCGCCCTCTGAGAAACGTTATGATGCCACCCTCGCTCTACAGACACTCAAGTGGGTCTAACTGGAGACACTTAAGTGTGTCTAACTGGAGACACTTAAGTGTGTCTAACTGGAGACTCTCAAGTGGGTGTAACTGGAGACACTTAAGTGGGTCTAACTGGAAACACGCGAGTGGGTCTAACTGGAGACACTAAAGTGGGTCTAACTGGAGACACTTAAGTGCCTCAATGGACAAACCGCCCAGTCGCATCCGCAGCGTGCGGCTCCCGAACGATCCCTTCCTGCAGTCCAACGGCTACAAGCCGGCGCCCCTCGACCTCTCGCAGGTGCGCTTCTTTCATTAATTGTCTGTTGGCTTAGACTTGTGCAAGACATCAAGGCATCAAGACATCCAGACATCAAGGCATCAAGTCACCAAGCCATCAAGTCAGATACATTTTGTTAATTGTGTTAAGTAAATAAATTACATTTACATTAATTCCTGCATTACATTTTTGTTTAAAGTCTAAATTGGTGTTTTATCATTGATTGTTTATGATTCAATTTGCGTTAATTGTACGTTTATTCTTAATGTGCTTTCGGTCTTGATTTTCGACCAAAATTTTAATTTTTGTGAATTATCATCGATGTTTCTACTTACCTCAAAGCCAAGCTTAAATTTGCTAGTAGTTTTCGTAAATCGTATCCACTGGACTCGTGGCAATTAATACAAGAAAAAATTCGTTATAACCCAGTTTTCAATTACGTATTTAGAACAGGAAACGCTGCAGTGGATTTTTGTATTTGTACTCCTTATTTCTTTTATTTCAAGGCAGCACACGTTAGCATCCATCGCACGGCTTAATTCGAAAAATATTACCCATAATTTACTTCTAATATGTACTGATAATTTGTTCTACTTCACGGGCAGCCAGTGTCGGGTGTAGCGATTCTAATATGTATTAATAATTCGTTCTAATTCATGGCAGCAGATGTCGGGTGTTCCGATTATCTCACAGAAACAATAGTTTATGTAAAATTATAATTAACGTGAGCATCTGCTGTACTCGACTAGGTGTCGCTGACGAGTAAGCTCGATGAGCTCGTCGAGCTGCTCGCCGAGAACACGCACAACATTTGGGCGCGTGAACGCATCCTGCAGGGCTGGACCTACGGTCTCAACGAGGATCCTGACCTGCGCAGGTCACCACACCTGGTGACCTACTCACATGTCGACGACATTATCAAGAAGGCCAACCGAGACACTGCGTCAGAGACCGTGCGCACCCTCCTCGTGTATGGCTATATCCTCGAGCCGCCCTCTGGAGAGGCTACTGAAGGTGAGGTGCTGTGTGCTGCTGTGTGAAGTGCTGTGTTCTGCTGTGTGAAGTACTGTGCTCTGCTGTGTGAGCTGTTGTGTGCTGCTGCTGCTGCTGCAGATAAAAACAATAAATCACAGGAGCTGTTAAAAATTTGACTTTCACCTGAAATTTGTGGGACAAAAGCTACATGCTGACTGGTGTTTTTTCGGAGAGCCGTCGAGTGTCTGTGTCACTAAGCCTGAACATTGTGTGATCCCGTCACTTTTGTGAAGAATAATCGAATTTAAACATTTCGCATCAAGACTCGTTACACGCCATATATGGTCAAAACACAACAACTCCACTAAGATGATACCATATTTGAAATAGTCGTCGTTGTGATTATCAAAGAATTTGTTAAATTTAAATTATGTCATTTCATTTGGAATTTTTGGAGTTGGAACGTCAAGAAAATGTAAACAGGCCATGCTTTGTACTCATAAATAACATTTTAAACTGAAGTTTACAGATTTTAATAATCATTTTCATGCGTTAGAGTTGAAGTATAATTGTTAGGCGTCGAGAAGCAGTAGCTTGAGATGTCGTCTTGTCTTCTTCCTCACAGGTGTCGGTACGTGAACGGGGGCGGTTATTTAGATCAACAACGAGGACTCATCAGACCTTAAAATATTCTTCTCTCTTGCTAATAATCTCATCAAAAGCTTAAATTGGCGTAATTTTCATCCCTCAAACACTTGGTAACACTTGGCGCAAGTGTTTAAGCCTTTGCTTCTAATATTTGTGCGTCAAAAATAGTCCTTTTAACGGTTCGTTCACTTGCTTCAGCCCGTGAACATTTTTTTGCCATGTAACTTTAATTTTCGGTTATAGTCCAATTCCTTTTAATTTCTACAGTGCCATCTTATACACAAAATTATGGCTTAAATATTCTGGCAAATTTATACCTATTTTCTTTCCTTTTCACGATTTGTTGCCTTCGTTCAGTTTTTTAGTTAACTTTTTACTGGGCCAACAACTTCCGATTTTCTAAGTCTTTTTCCAACTGCCGCGCACTCCAACGAACTAATTCTTTCTCATTGTACCGTGTTAGTAGTTTTATGTTTTCGATACAATAACGTTGTATGTGTTTCCCGTATCATCCTCTTGTCGAAGTTGTTGGAAAAAGTGTGTTGATACTGATGTGATTTTGTGACGTATGGATCTCTATTTTTTGCAAATTTGTCGCACTGTACTGGGACTTAGCTCATAATTGTTACCCGTTCCTCCTCTATGCTATCCATATATCATCCTTTGTTCATAATTTATGGGCTATTGCATGTTTATTTGAGTGCCTGGTTATGTTGTCTTGAACGAGGTAAGAAGCAGTGGTACACGTCATTTATTTCTTGTGTTGAATGGTAAGATTTGACAACAATACAATTAAGAGTAGCAAAGGCACACAAGTCAGTGTATTGATTGACGTAGCGGAGAAAGTTGTTGTACTCTCTAAACTATGAAATAATATTCGTGTCCACTGTCCTTTATGTTCTGTAGCAACCATCCGTACTTCTTGATTTCATCCATTAAAGAAATAGGCTCATTTTTTTCAATCTGGTTAGCTAAGTTTTATTAATGTTCAGTTCATCACCAGCCCTGTACCAGTAAACAATAAGCTTGCCTCACATGCACCGTACTCCAGCCTTTCCCCAGCCGCTGAGTGTCTTGAAAACTTTTATTCCAGCATTGTCAACTCAATCTTTACAGTTCCACTTTACTCCATGGACTTTTCTTTATACGTTGCACCGTTGCTTGGTCTTCCGTGTGACAAGATCTCCTTGGATTCTCTCCATTATATATTTACTAATTATCTAATACCTTCAACTTTCAGCTGCGCTGCGATTAAGTTTCTACCTATATTTTTGTTCCTGGAGTTGACTCCGAGTCCTTCATGTAATGCCGATGCCTTCAGTTTTGTTTTCGGGTATTTGAAAATCGAGAGCAATTTCTCCCTGACTTTCCAAGCTTACAGCTTGATTTCTTGATATTTTCTTGATCCTCTAAATTCTGCTTCCTTTATAGGTACACGAAGTAAAATGCGAGAGTAAAATGATAATGCGAAAACTTCCCGTTAGCACATTAAAGTTTTTTTGCCGGCATGCATGTGTGACCAGCTGCAGTGGCCATGGTGGTGAAGGCCAAGACCACATTGCCCCTTGGCCCCAATTTTGACCACACTTATTTTATCAATGTTCAGCGCCTTGAGGCCCTTTTGCGAAGCAACAGTAATTATTTAATCCTGTCAGGGCTTTCCTTGGTCTAAGAGAACTGTCCTAAATGCGTTAACTTGAGATCAGTTTTAAGCATCTTGACTTGAAATTGAAGACCGTTTTAACCTCTTGGTCGCCACAATTTGACCTGATGCACAGGATTCTAAATGATACTCTACCATGCATGCCGAAATAAGATTATATTTTCCATCCTCTTCACACCTGATATGGTTATCCGGTCTTCTTGAATCCCATTTTTCTGTTGAGCTTGTTACGGTAGAATTTTTTTATTGGTTATGTATCATCAGTATTAGTTGTTTTTGTAGGTTGAAGCAAATAATTGTTCATCATTTATTTAAAAATTTTGATTACAACGCAATATATTCTTTATACAACCACGTGTACCGTTAACTTGAGAAAATATACACTCCCGACTCGGACACACCTCACGCTTTACTCTACACATTACCTATAGGCAAATTACGTTGAAATAATGTTAATATAACGCTATTTGAGGTTGAAATAACATATAATCACCGTTATTTGACTTTTAAATAACGTACATTCACCGTTATTTGACGTTTAAATGACGTTCAATCACCGTTATTTGATATTGAAATAACATTCAAGTATCACGTTGAAATAACGTTCAATCAACTTTATTTCGTCGCCTGAGATACCTTTCACTTGACACGAATAGCTTTTCTTCTCGTAATAAGTAAAATCCTTTGTTTTGTGCGAATGGTGTAGGCGCTGAGGACCAGAAGAAGGGCAAGCGTGTAGAGTACCGCACCTACCGCCTGGAGAAGACCAACGCCGTGTCCAGCGGCAAGTGGTACTTCGAGATGGAGGTGCTCACGGCAGGGCCGATGCGGGTCGGCTGGGCCGGCACCAACTGTCCGCCTGGCAACGAGCTGGGCGCTGACGACAAGAGCTGGGCCTTTGATGGACACTATGTGAGTAATGGAGTGTGTATTGTCGGTTAAATTAATTGGAAAATGTGTTAGGGTAATGTCAGGACACTATGTGAGTAATGGAGTGTTTACTGTCGGTTAAATTGATCGGAAAATGTGATAGGGTAATGGCAGGACACTATGTGAGTAATGGAGTATATTTACAATCGGTTAAATTAATGAACAATGTGTTAGAGTAATGGGCAGGACACTATGTGAGAAATGGAGTGTTTACTGTCGGTTAAATTAATGGACAGTGTGTTGGAGTAATGGGCACACTATGTGAGTAATGGAGTATGTTTGCAATCGGTTAAATTAATGGACAATGTGTTAGGGTAATGAGCCGGGCACTATGTGAGCAATGGAGTGTTTACTATCGGTTAAATTGATTTGAAAATGTATTAGGGTAATGGGCAGGGCACTATGTGAATAATGGAGTGTTTACAATCGGTTAAATTAGTAGACAATGTGTTGGAGTAGTGGGCAGAAAACTGTGTGAGTAATAGAGTATGATTACGATCGGTTAAATTAATGGACAATGTGTTGGAGTAATGGGCATGACACTATGTGAGCAATAGAGTGTTTACAATCGGTTAAATTAATGGACATTGTGTTGGAGTAATGGGAATGACACTATGTGAGCAATGAAGTGTTTACAATCGGTTAAATTAATGGACAATGTGTTGGAGTAATGGGCATGACACTATGTGAGCAATAGAGTGTTTACAATCGGTTAAATTAATGGACATTGTGTTGGAGTAATGGGAATGACACTATGTGAGCAATGAAGTGTTTACAATCGGTTAAATTAATGGACATTGTGTTGGAGTAATGGGAATGACACTGTGTGAGCAATGGAGTGTTTACTGTCGGTTAAATTAATGGACAATGTGTTGGAGTAATGGGCAAGGCGCTATGTGAGTAATGGAGTATGTTTACAATCGGTTAATTTAATGGACAATGTGTTGGAGTAATGGGTAGGACACTATATGTGAGTAATGGAGTATGTATACAATCGGTTAAATTAATGGACAATGTGTTGGGGTAATGGGCAGGGCACTATGTGAGTGATGTAGTAATGTAGTATGTTTAAGATCTGTGAAATTGATGGAAAATTTGTGCGAGTATGGGCAGAATAATACGTGAGTAAAAGAAGTTGTACTGAGCGATGTGTGTGATTAATAAGCAATGTGTAGGAGTAATGAGCAGAACACCACGTGAGTAAAAGAAGTTGTACTGAGCGATGTGTTAGAGTAATAGACAAGGTGTAGGAGTAATGAGCAATGTTTACGAGTAATGGGCAATATGTAGGCTAGGTAAAAAATAGTTCTTTGTTATCAATTGCATCAATGACTTTAGTTTGCATTCGTGTTCCATGCTGAGCTTCTGTGATTCTATTTTTATAAATCTGATTAATTTACCTTTGAAATATTTCTTTTTAATGTGTTTCATTATTATTCTCGGTTGTGAATCTTTCTAGAAACGTCAAGAAGTCGTTCACTTATTCGCTAAATTTATTTAAATAGGTTGTGAGGCTTAGAAAGTTTTTTAGATTAATTTTTACCCTGCGTCTAAACATAATAGAATCAAATTTTTCAGGAATTCTCCTTATTTTTTCTAGTGCGCATTTTTATTCATAAATACTGTATTAGAAATCATCATGCTTTAGCTGTGCTTAACGTAGTTATTGATGATGAAGCGTCATCCAATAATCTTAACCTCGATCAATCCGAATTTCCCAGTTCCTTCATGCATCGAATTCCATTGCATAATAAAATTTATTTTTCTCAATCAATTTTTACCCATTTTGAATAGATTTCATCCAATTTCAAACAGTACTGTATTGATTTTAGTTGCATTCATCTAAATCCATGCAATCCCAAATAATACAGTTATATTTCAAGAAACTTGCTATTCATTTGTCATTTTCTGCACAAAATGTCTGCAGACCAATACGAAAAAAATGTAGCACTATCTCCATTTTGCAAGCCTAAAGATAACGAGCTTTTCAAGCACATTCCTTAAATTATCTAACTTGGAGACCACAACCCAAGTCGTAACTGTCGTTGCTTAGTTATACTTGCAATATTTCCTTTAAAATGCTGAATTTATCATTGTATCCATTATCCAGAGAGATCTGCTTGTGTAGATGCTACTTGAGTAAGAGGTAATGAACGTTTGTGTCTGGTTACTGGCTTTACGCTTCTATGCTATCCTTTAGCTTGGCTACTTTGCTGTCCCTTAGCATATGAAGTGTCATGGAGGCGTTCATGAAGTGTACGGACAACGCGTGAAAGTTGGCGATGTTGTCGGTGTGATGCTAGACCTCACCGACTGGTCCATCAGTAAGTCAATGCCGTGTGGGGTCGGTGTGATGCTTGACCTCACCGACTGGTCCATCAGTAAGTCAATGCCGTGTGAGGTCGGTGTGATGCTAGACCTCACCGATTGGTCCATCAGTAAGTCAATGCCGTGTAAGGTTGTCAGTGTGATGCTAGACCTCACCGACTGGTCCATCAGTAAGTCAATGCCGTGTGAGGTTGTCAGTGTGATGCTAGACCTCACTGACTGGTCCATCAGTAAGTCGTGCTGCGTGAAGTTTTCGCCGTGTTGCTAACCTCTCCGACTGGTGTACCATCTGCCGGGTGCTGTCGGTTTTGGTTTTTGAGTCAACTCTCGACATGTGATTGAAATTAGTACGTGAGGAACCGTCGCTATGTGATGCATTTTATTGAAAATTCGTTTTACTATGGTCTGTCTCTCTCAAAAACGACTTTTCTCTCAAAGTTTATGCCGTATTGGTCCAATAATTGTCTTCGTCAGTGGTTTGCGTTCTTCTTGGGACGTTTTTCGATGTTTTGTTGCGACTGAAAAACGCCTTTGCATCCCCTGTTACTAATGGCTTATTTTCTGTTGCTTCGCGCATTTTTAGTTTTTCGTTCCACCAGTTTGAGTATTTCATGATAATTTTTTTACTTACATGCCTAAAAATATCATCCCTGATGCCCTTAACGAATTTTTTATGATCGTTTTACCTTCCTACCCAGTTTGTAATATATCCATACCGCTACATACCTCAAAGTAACTCTCCCGATAATTTCACTATTTCTTGTAGAAACTGCAACTAACCTTTAGTACCACAAAAAATTATTATTCTGCGTGCTTCTAACCCGTTTGCTCGTGTGTGGCTGGGGCTATCGGCAGGAGGAGAAGTGTTACGCTGGCACAGCCGAGGCGTACGGTCATCGGTGGGCCGTGGGCGACGTGGTTGGAGTTTGTCTAGATCTCGTCGACAAAACCATCAGTAAGTCTTGCTTGTTCTTGCACTCGAACAAATATCATTGGAGGTTCTCGATGGAAGTTTGTCTTGATTGAGGCAGCGTTGCTACGAAGATTGAACCCGGTGTCGAGGCCTATGGGCCTTCTTTGCTACGATTGGCCTCGGTGACATCTCCTAGAATTGATACAACCCTTGGCCTCAGTGACGTGACCTCCTAGCGTTGCTACAACGTGACGTAACCTCCTTACGTTGATACAACGCTTGGCCTCAGTGACGTGACCTCCTAGCGTTGTTATAACATGACGTAACCTCCTAACATTGATACAACGCTTGGCCTCAGTGACACTCAGTGACGTGACCTCCTAGCGTTGCTACAACGTGACGTAACCTCAGTGACGTGACCTCCTAACGTTGCTACAACGTGACGTAACCTCAGTGACGTGACCTCCTAGCGTTGTTATAACATGACGTAACCTCCTAACGTTGATACAACGCCTGGCCTCAGTGTCGTGACCTCCTATAGCGTTGCTACAACGTGACGTAACCTCAGTGACGTGACCTCCCGCTTGTTCTTCGCCTCGAATTCTACATACTTCCGCTTGGTAGTGATTGGAATTCGTATCGCTTCCAGCGACAGAATTTTTGTAAGTACAATTCGGGGTTAATTTTTTCCGGTGAAAAATAGATATTTTATAACGATATCTAGATATTTTTTTCATGCCTTGACATAGAAATTTATAGTTCTAGTGTCTGATAAATCTTTTATTACGATACAGTAATAAAAGCATACTTTTGATGAATTTTCAGACTTTCTCTCACTTGTGAATATACTTCAGCTTATCATTGTTACATTCGTGTTGATTTTTTCTCCCTAAATCTTTGCACTTCCAACTCCATTTTTCTGTTATCTTTTCGGAAAATTCATAGAAAAACACTTAAAAACTTATACAAATAAAATTCATTTCATGAACAGCGAAACCATGAATTTCGGGATGGAAAAATAGTACCGATTTTGCTATGTACTGACTCAAATTAGCAATTTTGTGAAATTTCATTTATATACTTCATCTCCAGAACCATCAAGTAATGATGATGTGTTATCTCTTAGTCTAAAGGCCCATAGAAACACACTATTTCAGTCAGCAAACTCGTGAAATTTCATTCATTATTATAAATATAACTGTCATGAGCAAAAGACAAAGCATATATGTTTGCCTTCATTGAGCTCGATTAACTCTCTGTATTAACATTCCATGTGCATTTCTTGACGGATTCTTGATGGTTCAGGTTTCTCCCTGAACGGTGAGCTCATGATGGACGCCAGCGGGTCCGAGACCGCCTTCAGTGACGTGCAAGGCGACGCTTTCGTGCCGGCCTGCACGCTGGGCGTCGGGCAGAAGGCTAAGTTCGCGTTCGGCCAGGACATAACGCAACTCAGATACTTCACCACCTACGGTCTGCAGGAGGGATATGAGCCTTTCTGTGTGTGAGTAACAGCTTGCCGAGAACTGAAATGTTTAGTTGGACTGAAAAAAAAAAACATAGATTATTTTAGGGTTTCTTCCGTGACCTCGAACTTTCAATTCAAATTTTATTGGAAGAATTTCATTAATTATAGTTAGCCTAATCTAGTTAAAGTGTTGAAGTTTCATATCATTCACACTATTTAATTGGGATACCGGTTAAATGGTGACATTCAGTGCATCTACTAGAATAAAACTTTTTCCAATTTATGAGTTTTTTACTTGATTATCAGTAAACTTGCCCTCCTCTATAACCTAGCTGATTGGCTATAACGTACCACTATTCACACTCCTTAATTAGGAGTGTGCGAATCTCTACACCCATCTATAGCACACTCTATAGCCACAATAGATTTGTGCTCATCTATAGCCACTATAGTGCGCATCTATAGCCACTAACTGGCTATAACATGCGCATCTCCACACCCACTGAATGGCTATAACACACCCCTCTCGACACCCACTTATTTGCTATAACACTCCCCTCCCCAATTCGGTGTTTTATATATAACACACCGCCTCCCCATATACGACACCTCTCACACCCACTAATTTGCTATAACACACCCCTCCCCACACCCACAAATTGGCTATAACACACACAGCCGACGTTCGAGAACAACGACGACATCCTGGACTCTGCGGTGGAGGTGACGCGCATCCCTGCAGGGTCCGACACGCCGCCCTGCCTCAAGATCTCCTCCAAGATGTTCGAGGCGTGTGAGAGAGCCAACTGGGAGTTCCTCAGGATGTCCCTGCCTGTGGTCTGCTGTTCCGAGTTCATCGAGTGAGTTCTGTTTATTACGGTTGTGCACTGTAGGACTTTTATTTTTGTTGTTATTTTTTGATGTTGTTTATTATGGCTTTGTTGTTGAATTTTATGTTGCCCAGCACCCTCAATTGTTATCTGATGCGCTGTAAATTATCGATATTATTTTTTATTATCAGCCACTTTTATTCCATTTTAGCTATTTGTAAATTTGTTTGAGTAGTTATTAAATTAAGGTACCAATTCAGTCTAGTTAATCGTTAGCATTAAGTTATGGGGCCAATAGATTAGGTAGTGCTGAGATAAATTTAGGTTTAAAATTTTTACCGCAAATTCTTTTACCTAATATTGTTGCACCGGAAATTATATTACTATTTCTTCTTCTTTTACGCGCGTAGAAATAAACGGAAACTACGATGCAGCTGGTTAGCTTTATTTATAAGTGAACTCCGAGATATCTCGTGTAACGATCTGCTATAGCTTGATGCCCACTGATCGTTGGCAATCGTGGCACGATCTTCGATAGCTTGATGCCCACTGATCGTTGACAATCGTGGTACGACTGTGAGATTGCCTGATGTCCGCTTGTCGTTGACAATCGTAGTACGACTCTGAGATAGCTTTATGTCAACTGTTTGCTGTCAATCATGGCACTCTTATTGAAAGATGCGTTTGATCGATCGGTTATAAACGGTTGCTTGTTATCCTCTAATCGTTTATTATCGTGTGTGAGCAGCGAGGAGGAGAAGGAGCGTCGCTGGAACACGATACGCATCAGGCAGCACAGGATCGTGCCGTCCGAGGCAGCGCAAAGCTCCTTGGCGCAGCCTGACATGCACTCTTCGCTACTTGACTCTGGCTTCTCCATGTCCGATATTAAAGGTACGGAGGCAAATGTACAGTCACTTGATTCCCCTGGCGGACTTTTCATTCTGTATTTATCCATTTCCAAAGATACTTTAAATTGTGGTCACCACTCATGGCGGTGTTTTGGTCACCTCTATGTCTGATATTAAAGATACGGATGACAGAGATTGTAATGCAGTGCTGTGAAATATCGTAATAATAATGCAGCTCAAGACAATCTTAATAATACAATTTATGCATCGCATCGAGTTTAATTAACTTCTGAGTTTGGAAATCCAAAATTTATTGCCAATTTGGTTTTGAAATTACGTTTCCTCCCAGACTAGCAACAGAATTACCAAGAAATGGTCGCACTTAGTCTTTATTAATACATGCAGTTAATCATAATAATGTAGTTTGAGTATCGTACCTATTTTAATCTACTTCGAATTTTAAGAAATCGAAAATTTTGTGGCTATACAAATTTTGTGGCAATCCAAAATTTTGCGCAATTTGGTATCGAGTGACGTTTGTTTTTGCCCCAGACTTGCACCGAAGTTACCCCGAAGAAGGCGCAGAGGCAGACGAGATGCTAAGCACCACCGGCAGCAAGACGGACGTCCCACTGGGCAAACGCGGCAAGCTCGGCAAAACGGGCAGCTTTGACGTCGGTGACGGCGGTGCTGATGGCGAGCCTGGTGCGTTACGTTTAACTTGCGCCCGTATTTTTTCCTTAAATTTTTATATTCTTTTGAGGAAATATGGATGGTATTGAGCTTTTTGCAGCGATTGAGGGGGCTATACCTTCACGCTTCACCCACTCGTCCACCCAGTCTTTGTTCTTGGGCACGAAGGACAAAGTAGATGATGGCCTGCCTGACATTCGCTTTTACTGGTTACTACATTTGCTTTTACCAACATTCGAATTTAATATTCGAATTTGTATTATGATGGATACTGTATTATGAAGGGGACTTGTACTGAAAAGGGGATTTGGATTGTGAAGGGGACTTGTATTATGAAGGGGACTGATATTATGACTGCTTGAGAGGTCAGGGTCAATTCGACATCCATGCCCCGCTGCTAATTTTATGAAGGCGCTATACCTTTGAAATATTTCATTCTAATGAATTAATTTAAGGTAAATATAAATGTGTCGTAGTCGTAGCTAGTTGTTATATTCTCTCTACTGAGAAACTTCCTAAGTTATCCATTGTTGACCATACAAATTTTCTCGCATCGAAATTGTTAGTATTAAATGTCATTGTTAATATAATTGTTTGGAAAAATTGTTCTGTTAGTCTCTAGAATTCATTCCACGTCAAGTGGCGTCGAAACGCCATCCGTGTGATTGCGGCATTTTTTTAATAGGTAAGCTGGTAATTGTCCATGCCCATCATTGCGTCCGGTCAAGTGCCTATTTCAACTAAATTTTTAGGAAGTCGGTATATCGTATCTATTGGTATGAATTTCCTGTTCCGATAAATCGTATCTATTGATAAATCTTTTTTTTCTATAAACCAAATCTATTGGTATATATTCCTGTTCCGGCAAATCAATCTATTGATATGTATTTCCTGTTCCGATATCATATATATTGTTATATACAGTAGTTCATGTTCCGATAAATCGTATCTGTTGGTATACACTATACAGTATATCCTGTTTCGATCAAACATATCAATTTGTTGATATTTCCTGTTGTAGCTCCTGAGCAATAAAGCATTATTTTACTCCACCTCGCAGGAAAAATGCCGAAAGCGTCGAGCGAGATGAACATCGTCAGTAAGGGTCAGAACGCCGACACCGGCGAGAGAAAAAAGCGCGGCAAATCTCCCTTCAGGTTCGTGACAACAATCCATCAAACTGTTATATATCATTCGCGGTTTGCATTTGTTCTCTAATTTTATTTGCCTAACGCGTAACCATTTGGGAATTTTAGCAATTACTCACGTTTTTTTGCTATTAATCACTTATTTTATTTGCATAACGCGTTCCTTTATGAAAATTTTATCAATTACTAATATCGTATCTATTGGTATGAATTTCCTGTTCCGATAAATCATATCTGTTGGTATAATTTCCTGTTCCGATAAATCGTATCTATTGATAAATTTTTCTTTTTCCTATAAATCAAATCTATTGGTATATATTCGTGTTCCAGCAAATCAATCTATTGATATGTATTTCCTGTTCCGATAAATCATATATATTGTTATATACAGTAGTTCATGTTCCGATAAATGGTATCTATTTGTATACACTATACAGTATATCCTGTTTCGATCAAACATATCAATTTGTTGATATTTCCTGTTGTAGCTCCTGAGCAATAAAGCATTATTTTACTCCACCTCGCAGGAAAAATGCCGAAAGCGTCGAGCGAGATGAACATCGTCAGTAAGGGTCAGAACGCCGACACCGGCGAGAGAAAAAAGCGCGGCAAATCTCCCTTCAGGTTCGTGACAACAATCCATCAAACTGTTATATATCATTCGCGGTTTGCATTTGTTCTCTAATTTTATTTGCCTAACGCGTAACCATTTGGGAATTTTAGCAATTACTCACGTTTTTTTGCTATTAATCACTTATTTTATTTGCATAACGCGTTCCTTTATGAAAATTTTATCAATTACTAGTTTTTTCCGCTTTATTTACTAATTTTATTTGGATAACGCGTTTCACTGAGTCATCTTCGCGTTGTTTGGCAGACACGATAAGGATCACCTGATTCTAAATTCTTTCTTACGCTGCCATTTAAGTAATAATAATAATTAATATATATTTACTGCACTGTCCTGATTAACTGCGGCAGCCTTTTATGCAGTTGTAGGTGGAAACAAATGGGTGTGTCGTTTGAATAAATCTTAATATGCTTCGTGATAGCCTTCAGATTGTTGTTAGTTTGGCTCTATCGGAGACGTTTATGTTATATTTTTTCGAGTCTAATTACTTGATTAGCGTAAATTGCGTGTATTTTGACTAGTTCTAGTTGATTTTTCTTGGTTCTTATATTTCATAATCATTTGTTGCCTTACGTTGCTCCTTTTTTATATTTGGACAATCTAATGCTCTCAATTTTTGCAAGTATGACTCACAGTTATTAGATATTTATGTAAGGCGAAAGTGCTACCTGTGTATCTGCACTGGGATAAACTTTGTGCAATCCGTGCTGCTTATGCTGCTGCACCTGGCGAAAGCTCCTTAGTTTACCGTGTCGCTTGTGCTGAAGTTCTTGGTTATTTTCTTCTGAGTTTAATCGTGCTACCGATTACGGCTCTTTATCTGACCGTGCTGCTTGTGCTGCAGCTGCTGCTTAATTCCTAAGTTAACCGTGCTGCCTATGCTGCAGATCTGATAGTTATTTCCTAAGTTAATCGTGCTACGCACACAGTTAACTCTTCATCTAACCGCGCTGCCTGTGCTGCAGCTGACGCTTAATTCCCAAGTAAACCGTGCTGCCTATGCTGTAGCTCTTATATTTCCTAAGTTAACCATGCTTGCTGCTCACGGTTAACTCTACCTAATCTAACCGCCTGTACTGCAGCATGGACCTCATTATGGGTGACTTGTGTGAGCGTCGCCTTCGTCTGAAGACCAAGTAAGATGGCAGCACTAATTGCTGCTCTAATTTCTGTATTTTGTCTTATAATCTAACCGCCTGTACTGCAGCTGCCGCTTAAATCATAAGTAAATCGTGCTGCCGTGCTGCCCCTTAATTCCTAATTTAACCGTGCTGTCTGTGCTGCAGCTCTTGGTTATTTCCTAAGTTAACCGTGCTTGCTGCTCATGGTTAATTCTGCCTAATCTAACCGCCTGTACTGCAGCATGGACCTCATTATGGGTGACTTGTGTGAACGTCGCCTTCGTCTGAAGACCAAGTAAGATGGCAGCACTAATTGCTGCTCTAATTTCTGTATTTTGTCTTCTCGAATTCTCGAATTTCTTTATTTTTTCAGACGCGTTCCGGAATGATTTTCAACGAATCTTTCTCTGAATTTCTTTGATGTTGATGTCGTTTTCGATACTCCGTGACATGATACTTTGTTATGTATCAAAGTATAAAGAAAAAGAATCTTTGATATCGGCATGATTGAGGTATTTCATCAAAACTGTCGTGTTTCTACTGCCCTCATGAAAAGTATTACGTTTGAGAGTTGATTGAAATTGTCTTAAATGTTTTCGTGTCGTAGATCTACAAAAGCGTTATTACCTCTCGCGTAAGTCGTAAGTCCACGACCACTTTTCGAGGTCGTAATAAACTGCACTGCGTCACATCGCACGTTGGCTCCTCGACAACTCGTGCTTCTAAAGCCTTCTTCTATTCAACCCAATTAATCACTTTTCTGTTTAATCTAAATAATCGCATTTCTGTTTAATTGCCAACTAAAATAAAATATTTTGAAGCACGGCATGCCTCCAGGTTTTCATGTTCTGTATTATGGTTTTATTTATCTTCGCTTTTCATGTTTGATGTAAATTGTATTGGCATCACGTTCTTTATAAAAAATTACCGATTTGGTCTTCTATCAATGAATTTCGATTCAATCGTAACTCACGCTTTGGAATCTTCCCTCATGTATATTTGGCCTTCATCTTCTAATTTTTGAATGCTACTTTTTTATTCTCAGTGATTGACTTTAAGTCAAATTTGTTATCTCTCAACTGTCGGGACAGATACGCTGGCATTTTCCTGTGTTAAAACTAAACGGGGACTTAATTGTTGAATTTCGATTCGCAGGTGTGAGCCTTAAATTTCTCGGATCAAAAAATAATATTAAATTTTTTTTACAAACTATTACTAATTCTCTTTTTTCGCGATCTATTAATTAATTAAAACAATTTTTGTCAGGTTCTTCAAGAAACGCGACCAGAGCGGTGAAGGTAGAAGCAAAGGACGTGTGACTGAGACTGGCACTCTCGACGTCCCAGGAGGAAAGAAAAGACAAACGTCCGTCCGCCTCGCCGGCGCTACCGACACTAAGCTCATTCCGCCCTCCATACCCGAGCGCGCCGTGAGCATGTCTGAAACATGTTTCGTTCTTGTTTGTCTCACGCGTTCAAGTGTACTTCATCGTTCACTTTGCAAGATCACGGAAAATGTTTCTCTTGCCCATAAAATTATATTTTAACAATCAGTAGGAATTACCAAACTCTAAGATTATAACAAAATTGTATTTCAATTTTTTTTCTCCGCACATAGAGTAATGTCGGTCAGGGATGATGCCTAACACATGAAAACACAGTTATTTTTTCTAAGATAAACGCGTTTTTAGAGCGTTTTTATTGCGACTCTTCGAATGCTGTCTCGTAGACAAGTCTATTTATTGCTGGTATTATATATACGATTTTTTGAGCTCTCACTCAATTAGTCAATTCCAGCCGAAATTATACCAAATCACATAAATATTTTTCCCATTGTGCCCCACTCGTTTCAATTACAAATTAAATTAAATTTTTCCTTGTGTGCACGTTTAATTTTCCCATTGTGTCTCACTCGTTTCAATTATAAATTAAATTTAATCAAATTTCCCCTTATGCGCACGTATAAACCCAAATCTCTCCTCACGCCAGGGCGAAGGCCATCAAGGCCAGCTGTTCGACGCCGAGTGTCTGAAGCTCATCAACGAATATTTCTACGGCGTGCGCATCTTCCCTGGTCAAGACCCGGCGCACGTGTACATTGGCTGGGTCACGACCCAGTACCACATACACGACACGGCCTTCGACCAGAGCAAAGTGCGCAGCGTGATCGTGCAGGAGTACACGGAGGACGGCGACGTCAAATCTGCGTCAGTTTTCACCGATATCGTGATTTTCACGAGTCGTCCCATATCATTCAATGCTTATTTATCGTTAAAAGGGTATTTTAAATGCTCAATATTTTATAAATTCATTGTATATTAGTTTCCGGTGTTTCCTGCGAGAAATATCATTGTCTAGAGAACAGCTGTATTTTTCTTTGAACGCCAATGAGTTCGTAGTTTTTTACCTTAGGACTAAATTTGAAAACTTCATTTGCCCTTAAACCGCTATTAATTTCGTTCATTGAATTATAACTTGGGGTGTTTCTTTCCGAGTCGTAGATTTTTCAGTTATTGATCATATGAACGAAAATAATTATTTTCGGATTAAATTATCACCGAAGTGGATTTCAATGAAGGTAAAATGTTTATCTAGCATTCTATATTTTAAATATTAATCGACTTATTTGATCAACTGTACATTTAGATGAATAAAAATACCGCTAGTTACTTCATTTGTGACTTTTATTTCAATCAATCAAAGCTATTATGAATGTATCTATTCCATTAACTCTTAGTACGTAATAATTTAACCTCTTTAATTCAGTTTGCTTCATAATAGCTTCTTGTGTATCTTTTTCAATTCGGATCGTTGATTTGCAGCATCGAGCGGCACAGCTGCTACATGTTCCGTGCCGACGAACTCTTCTCTGAGGTGACGTCAGACGCGAGCGGCAAAGGCTCATCACAAGGCATGTTCATCGGATGCTTCATTGACACAAGCACGGGCTTTATCTCACTGCAGTGTGAGGGCAAGGCAACCCGCCACAAGTACCGCATGGAGCCTGGCATTAAGCTCTTCCCAGCCGTGTTCGTCGAGCCCACCAGCAAGGAGGTACTGCAAATCGAGCTTGGTCGCACCCAGACAACTCTGCCGCTGAGCGCTGCGGTGTTGCAGAACAGCGAAAAACATGTGGTACCACAAATGCCACCGAGACTACGTCTTCAGGTACTGCAGCCTTACCAGTGGTGCAGGGTGCCCAACACTTCGCTCAGGATACATGCTCTCAAGCTCTCCGATATCAGAGGCTGGTCGATGCTGGCTGAGGACTCGGTTCCTATGCTTGCTCTCAACATCCCTGAAGAGGATCGGTCCATTGACATCCTGGAGCTCATAGAGAACGAGAAGCTGCTCAACTTTCACTCCTACACCCTCGCTCTGTACTGTGCTATGTGCTTCCAGAGCAACTACAGAGCTGCCCACACGCTCTGCCACCATGTGGGACAGAACCAGCTGCTCTATGCCATCCAGTGTCCCTACATGTCAGGTCCTTTGAGAATGGGCTTCTACAATCTCCTCATCGCCCTCCACTTGGAGAGCTTCGCGTCGACAATGTACGTCCAAGATGTTTTGCTCATACTTATTACTCTGCTTTTTATTTATATTAACATTAATGAACAACTTACACTATTCGTGTTATGTATTCTCAAGTTAAATCATGCCGAGTACAGCTTACAGCTTTAGTAATACTTAGCTCGAATTCATTTCAAGTTTTTCTATTTATAAGAGAGAGACCAACAAACTTCACAATATTGGGATTAAATTTTCTTATAATTGTCTTCGTTTTCAAATTCATGAGTAATTTGCGTTTCCTGCAATCAAATGATTTTGTAGCTCAAAGATCGAACTATTCCCTATCTGATGAATAATCAAAAATATTGTACCTTCACCGGCCAGGGAGGTGACCCAGAACGAGTTCATCGTGCCGCTCAGCAACGACCTCAAGGACCTGTACGCGGACCCCGCCATGGGCAACTCCATGTCTGCCACGCGCACCGAGAGTGTCCGGCCCATCATGGTCATGTGTGACATACAGTGAGTCATGTGTGACATACAGTTGAGTCATGTGTGACATACAGTTGAGTCATGTGTGACATACAGTTGAGTCATGTGTGACATACAGTTGAGTCATGTGTGACATACAGTTGAATCATGGTCATGTGTGACATACAGTGAGTCATGTGTGACATACAGTTGAGTCATGTGTGACATATATTTGAATAATGTATGGCATACAGTGAATTAATGTATGGCAAGTATAAGAGTAATTTATAAATCATGTGTGACAATCAGTAGAATCATCTTCACGCCTCCAATTATCACCCATTAGGTATTTAAAGTTATCGCCCAACAAATAATCCCCGCTCAGGGACTAGTTATTTGTACTTCTCGTCCAACAAATAATCACTACCCAGGGACAACATAGACACCATCAAGGGTCTGTCATCCCCCGACTTCCCCCTGGACGAGGTGCGGGAGTTTGTCATGCAGGCGCTGTCTGATGCCGTCAAGTCCAACCAAGTGGCCAACCGCGACCCCATCGGCGGCTCCAACGAAAACTTATTTGTGTGAGATATTTAATAATAACCTATATTATTGATAAGTTATATCTATTGATGTCGTGCTACTCTGTCCATTATAAGTTACCATGAATGCCCTTTTTAGACACATACCATTTTCATTTTATTTTAATTGTAATCTTAATTTATGAAATAGTTACTGAAACTGCCTTATAATATTGTAATTAATGTTGCAATTTAATTCTAAATGGAGAGCAGTTTGAACAAAATTCAACTATTTCACAGTTAAACCGTAATTTTTATAATACTGGAAGAATAATTTAGCCAGAAAGACCTGTGTATTATGGATAAAAATTATCTTGAGAGGTCGATTTTTCTTCCGTTGAACTCAATTTTATCACATGAATGTGACGTTCCGACTCAATATTTAGATCTTCATTTATTTTATATATCACTTACTATTTAACTTTATACGCCCACCATCTCCAGGCCGCTGCTGAAACTAGTGGACAATCTCCTGCTGGTGGGCTGCATGCAGGATGACGACCTCTGCAAGCTCCTCATCATGATAGATCCTGAGACCTGGGATCCTGACTTCGACAAAGGTGCGCTCTGAAGTCAGTCTGAAGTAAGGCTTAATAACCTGACTTCGACAATGGTGCGCTCTCAAGTCAGTCTGAAGTAAGGCTTGAGATCCTGACTTCGACAAAGGTGCACTCTGAAGTCAGTCTGAAGTAAGGCTTGAGATCCTGACTTCGACAAAGGTGGGCTCTGAAGTCAGTATGAAGTAAGACTTAAGATCCTGACTTCGACAAAGGTGGGCTCTGAAGTCAGTCAGAAGTAAGGCTCAAGATCCTGACTTCGACAAAGGTAGGCTCTGAAGTCAGTCAGAAGTAAGGCTCAAGATACTGACTTCGACAAAGGTAGGCTCTGAAGTCAGTCAGAAGTAAGGCTCAAGATCCTGACTTCGACAAAGGTAGGCTCTGAAGTCAGTCTGTAGTAAGGCTTAAGATCCTGAATTCGACAAAGGTGCGCTCTTCAGCTGCTTGGATCTCTGTGGAATATAAACAAAAATAACCTCTGTGGTTGAATGGAATGCTCGAATATATCTAAGAAATGAAAAGCAATCTGTCTCTTGACGTGAACCCTCTTTTTAGTTTGATTCTTAAGGACTGCAAACTAAGATAATTTCTCAAATGGAGTGGGATGCTAGAATAAAAATAAAAAGGATAAATGTCTGTCAGTTGACGTGTACCCACTTTACACACCAGAAGGCGCAGACGAGAACCGCAAAGGGCTGCTTAACATGGACATCGCTGAGGGGGTGAAGCTGCAACTCTGCTGTGTCCTGCATCATCTCATGGACCTGCAGCTCCGGCACAGAGTAGAATCAATCATCACCTACGCTCAAGTGAGTTTCCATTATCATCGACTAAATCAATGAGTTACTAAGAGGTATGATTACGGGTTTTTCTTCCTCGTTCTTTCTTTAAAAACTCTACATATTTCAATTGTTCTAATTTTTTCTATAAAAGTTTCATTCTCCCTATAAAAACCTTGATTTTTTCACCTTTCCACAATTGCTGAATGTTTCAGGACTACGTAGGCGAGATTCAGGCCGATCAGCTTCGTCGCTACATCGAAATCAAACAGTCCGACCTGCCGTCCGCCGTGGCAGCCAAGAAAACAAAAGAATTCCGTTGTCCTCCACGGGAGCAGATGAATGCTATCTTGGCGTTCAAGAACCTCTCTGAAGAGGAGCTCGAAGAGGCGCCGTGTGGTGAAGACCTCAAGACCAAACTACTCGCCTTCCACGCGCATCTCATGGAGAAGACTAAGATCCCTGGCGGCAAAGGAGACGATGGATGCTCTAAGGTACGTACCACTTCCTGTGACGTGTGATGACGAGGCACTCATCGTGACGTGTGATGGCGGAGCGCTTCCCATGACGTATAATGGCTGGATACTTCCCGTGACGTGTGATGCCTCGGTACTTTTCGATGACTTGTCATGACGAGTTACTTTCGGTGACGTGTGATGACGAGGTACTTCCCGTGATGTGTGAAAATTGAAAAAAAAACCTTCAGTGCCACTCTGAAATTGCTTCAGCTTTTATTTACATACATCGCAGGATGCTGACTCCGAGAAGCCGAGTGTTTTCTCGCGGATGTTGAGCTTCCTGAAGGCAGCGAAAGAAGAAGAAGTCCCTGCCGAAGAGGCGGAGGCCGAGAGCAACGACCCGGCCGACAAGCTGAAGAAAGTTCTGGTGAACACAATCGTGCGCTGGGCCAGCGAGACCTTCATTGAGAACCCCATACTGATCCGGGAGATGTTCAGGTGTGTGGTAGGTCGATGATGTTTAGGTCTGGTGGGTTTTAGGACGTTAGATGGGTTTTAGGTCGATGATGTTTTAGGTTTGGTGGGTTTTAGGTCGTTAGGTGGGTTTTAGGTCGATGATGTTTGAGGTCTGGTGGGTTTTAGGTCGTTAGGTGGGTTTTAGGTCGATGATGTTTTAGGTCTGGTGGGTTTTGGGGAGTTAGGTGGGTTTTAGGTCGATTCATGGGGGCTTAGGCATCCGAATTTATTATTCTGACGCCATACTGATTAACCAATGGCATACTGATCAATCAATGCCATGATGAGGGAGATTTTCAAGTGGATTGTATGTTATATGTCACATGTCACTGATCTGAGAGATGCTTACTTGGGTGATAAATCAATCATCGGTCAACGGATGTTCGTTTTAAGACTAATTAATTACCTAGTAAGTCGATTTACTGTCGAATTTTCGTATTATTTGGTACCTTAAACCTTGCAGCTCATAATTTTTATCGCGTACACAGCCTGCTGCTGCGTCAGTACAACGCCGTGGGCGAGCTCATGCTTGCTCTGGCCAAGACGTACGCCATCAGCAGCATGACCAAACGCGACGTAACTTTCATGTGGCAGTGCTTGAGTAAAATCAGGGCGTTGCTACCCGTACAAATGTCGCAGGAGGAGGAGGAACTCATGAGGCAGCTTCTATGGTGAGTAGTCAATGGAATATTTCTATGATATTTTCAATACGATTTTTTTTCTGTGGAAGTACAAGCCTGTGCTTCTGATTGCCTCTGGTCCAATGTCGAGTGATGGTTAGTACAGTTATACTGAATAACTTAACTAAAATGAGATTACTGGGAGAAATTACGAAGCAGTACACATTGATTTCCTTTAAATTCACAGTCAATTTCTAAAAACCCATATTGAAGTTCTAAGAATTCAAGCTAAATTAATAGAAATTTATGCTCTTAAGAACTAGCCATTCGAATTGGAGATTTAGGGTTTTGAGAAATAAAAAATGTACGTAATGAACGATTCATGTTATTATTTATCTCTTTTTACAATTATACGGTGATCAAATTTCAATGCATAATATACGTACTAGAAAATACGATTGAAGTCATTTTGTCGTCGTACATTGGCGAATTTCTCAAGACATTTCCGATGGAATTCTCTTCACAGCCGCAATAAGTGATTGTGTAATTTCATATTGCCCAAATATCCGCTGATGTCCCATAAACGGGATACTTGTTAAAATAATTCCTTGGAATAACAGACATTTTATATATGATAATATCGAGGAGCCAGCTTTAATAAAGCTACGTTGGTCTTTCATCGATTCTTAACCACTCTGCCGATTGAGACCAAATTTTTCCAACTATTCCAAACCCCCAAATCACTACTCCCCCCAACTCCTGATTGCCTTTCGCTGATGATAATAAACACTCCGATAAAACGATCTTTATCCCCCTTTTATTTATTTATTATTATTTTTTTTTGTGTATCAACATGTACAGATATTCTCACTGATCTCCAACGTGACACACAATTTTTGTAGACGCCAGTGAGATTATTCTTGAAAAAAATTTCTTTAAAATTTTTTTAACGAGATCTGGCGAGTACTGGACTGGCCGGAAGTTAGTTAACTCCGTTTATTCCCAACAGCCATTTGCTTAGCCCGAATTATTCACAATAGACATTTGGTAAACATCTTCTTCCAACAGGTGTTTGGTTAACCCCAATCATTCCCAACAGGTTTTTGCTCAACCATCATCCCAGAATTGTTCCCAACAGGCGTTTGGTCATTAATCTTGAATTATTCCCAACAGGCGTTTGGTGAACCATTATTCCTGACTTACTCCCAACAGGCGTTTGGTGAACCATTATCCCTGACTTACTCCCAACCGGCGTTTAGTGAACCATTATCCTCGACTTACTCCCAACAGGCGTTTGGTGAACCATTATCCCTGACTTACTCCCAACAGGCGTTTGGTGAACCATTATTCCTGACTTACTCCCAACAGGCGTTTAGTGAACAACCACATCTTCTTCCAACACCCCGACCTGATCCGCATCCTGCGGGTGCACGAGAACGTCATGGCGGTGATGATGAATATGTTGGGGCGACGTGCCCAGGCCCAGAACGAGACCCAGGTCGCCGAGGGCGCCGCCGCTGCTGCCGAGGCTGTGGGCGCCAGCAAGGAGAAGGTGTGTGATGTACTTGATATTTATGAATAATTCCATACAATCGTAATTAGTAATTCATCGATACAGTAAGTATTGATGAATTTGTTTAAATATGTGTCAATATTTTAATTATTAATTGTAAATATTAATTTGTCATACAATAGTGGTTGGAATTTGAAAGTTAACGCCATCGATGCAATCGTACCTACAATTATTGTAGGTACAATTGCATTTTAAATGCTAATCACTTCCTTGACTAGTACAGAAACGACTAAACCCACATGCCTGAAAATATTACAGCTTTTGCGCTGGTGTGAAAATTGAATATTTATCGAGTTCGACGAAGAACCAACTTCATTGTGACAGTTATTGGTTAATTATCTAATTTCGGAAACGACGAAATTCACATAGCTAAAATTAAAATTATTACCGCCGCTGCCCAGTTGCAAAATTGTTTTACCTTTCGAGTTTATAGTAAAGACCCAACTCCATTTGTAACCATTATCGGTTAATCAACTAACTCTGAAACTAATTAACCAACGTACCCGAAATTATCACAGCAACTGTGCAGGTTTGAGATTAACATATTGATCGAGTTCAGTGGAGACCCGACAACATTAATTGACAGTTTTCGATTATTGGCGGAATGCTTAGGCTGATATTAGAGGGTAGAATTTCAAGTTGCTGCCGGAAGTAGATTTCCTACGTGCTGCCTGAGCTCTAGAATGAGAAATTGTTTCAAGTTCCATCACTCTAGGTACAATATTATCAGGGGTCTGGAAAATACCACTTCGTGTACGAATTTTATTAAAACTCTTGTGCTGTGAGTTTTGAACTGTGATTCGTTTTCGATGGTCACTCAGATAATTTAATGGGTAAAATTTTCTAAATAGTGATATACTTTATGCACGTATCAATGATGAGCCCTTTTGCCAGGCCTAACTGGGTCAGGATGACACAAACAAGAGCTAAGAGTGCATCGCTATTTAGACTAAAAGTTGTTCATTTCTCTGAATGAAAGTTTATGAACGTATAAGTTAAGTAGAAAAAATTAAATAAACCTTTAAGTTTATTGTTGAACGTTTTTCGCTCAGTTGTTGTTCACCTGCCAGGGTTGATTTTTGAGTCGTAATTCGTTTCTAAAACTTTTATAAATTTACTATGAAATATTTGGTCCCCATTATTTTTTTATTTTCTTTGTAAGTTTTAGCGCATTATCTCATTTGTGGAAAAAATGCACTTTTGTGCTAGCCTTGTCCGTCTGTCCGTCCGTCTGTCTGTCCGTCCGTCTGTCTGTTTGTCTACCCGTCCGTCTGTCTGTCTGTCTGTCTGTCTGTCTGTCTGTCTGTCTGTCTGTCTGTCTGTCTGTCTGTCTGTCTGTCTGTCTGTCTGTCTGTCTGTCTGTCTGTCTGTCTGTCTGTCTGTCTGTCTGTCTGTCTGTCTGTCTGTCTGTCTGTCTGTCTGTCTGTCTGTCTGTCTGTCTGTCTGTCTGTCTGTCTGTCTGTCTGTCTGTCTGTCTGTCTGTCTGTCTGTCTGTCTGTCTGTCTGTCTGTCTGTCTGTCTGTCTGTCTGTCTGTNGGAGTGTATTCATCATAATATTATTGTTGTCAATTCAAATTAAAAATTTTGTTCACTGTTGATAGCTGTTATCAATGCTCTTCGCGTGGCTTCTGAGTCCGCAGTTGTAGTCCCGTTAATTTTTTTATTCGCAGGAGTAAGTATAGTTTTTTATCATTAATAAACATTAGACTTAAATCTTCTTAGCGATTAAGAGGCAGAAATACTCAATTAAATTTTTAATAAATTACTCCAGTATGCTGATAAGTTTAATGCTAAAATATACAAATGGTATTTTCTTTCCCTGCAGCTCAAAATTTGCTATTTTCTGTTAATGTGTTCATAATATATAAAAGTGATATAAAATCCCTCTTTTAAACAATTCAAACAGTTTTCTATTCAAATATTTTTCCTATTATATCGATAAAATCCATATTTTACTTTCCCCTCAAATTTAATTGTTTTCCTCCTGAAGCTCATAAACTTTTTTCCGATGAATGATAAGCTCGTCCCTAGTTAATATTCGTGTGAATATCAATTCAGCATTCACCTTCTTATACATTGCAAGGATCATAAAGTATTCTTTTGCCGTCCATCATTCGTTTTCAATCAATTAATAATCATTCCTGGACACAAATTAATCATTTGTGAATCATTCATGTTCATGAGTCAATCATTTGTGAATCATTTCTGTCCTTGAATCCATCATAAGGGAATCATTGCTTCCATTCATCCCATTTTAATTTCCATTCGAGCGATTTTGATTTCGAAAAAATTACTTCTTATGCCATAATCTTGCACATATTTCGATCTCATCCACGCACGGCTAGACTAGTCTGCATAAGTAATTAATCAGTACTATTATTATTGCTGCACTTCTCTAGCGTGCATTTGTCTTCTGTAGCTAAACGAATTCATA